TAGTGTACTGTTTTTTTTGAGAATATTTTGTTTTTGGTGTATTTTGTTTTGTTTTTAGTGCATTTTTTTTTGTTTTTCGTGTATTTTGTTTTTGTTATGGCTTATCTACGTAGGTAGACCATAACTACAAGAACAGTTTAGAAATTCATTTATAAAAAATGATTAAAATTTATCGAGGATGATAAGTCACATTCTCGATAAGAATCATTTTAAAAGATAATATGTAATCTAATAACATCGACATCTTCTTCATTTTCATACATTGTATGGATAAAATAACTTTACTAAATTAATCGATAGGTATATTAATAACATATAGAATATTAATAAAATAAAATCTAAATGCAGTAACTTAAAAACATTATGGCAATTGCAAATTTCAAAACTATTTTATCTACATGAAAGCATTAATTAATTTAATTTTTAATTTAAAATAATTTTATTGAAAAACAAGAGATTAACAATTACAATAGCAGTTATACCATCTAAAAGATAATTACAAATTGTGGTTCATATACGATTAATCTGGTGATGCCCACACTAGGCAATGCCTGTATCGTGGGCACCGAAAACAGCTCGAAAAATCTTTTCATACATTATTAAAAACCTACTCTTACGGCGTTTCGGTATTATTTATGAATTATATATTGCTCCAGTATAAATGAAAAATAAAATACAAGATGATATATGGTATATAAAATAAATAAAGTAAGATGTTAATTTAAGTACATTTTTTTATTCAAGTTCATGAGTCAAAAATTATCAAATATCTCTATCAAACAAAAGAAACGCGATCGTGTTATTTTATTATATGATATCTGTAGATAACATTAAAAGAAAACTCTTGTCGTACACAATATTACACTCCAACGCAGTGTAAAGAGGTCGTGCATGTTTTGAACAATTCCACGCTGTAAGACGGTTATGTAAAAATTGTTTTGTCGAAATGTGCAGTGTACGTAACGTTTACGAAGGAAATGTGTTAATTAGACAAATTAGAGTTAGTGCAACTTACGGATAACAAGTGCATTGCATCAAACTGTGGCAAGGTTTTAATTATTAAAAAATGAATCACTATACGTAAGTGAATTTTGGTTTCAAAAATTTTGTAAATAATAAAATTTTAACAGTGATAGAGCCTGCTTTAACGTCTACGTACGAGTGTGTCGGCTCGCCCGGTGTAATATCACGACCACACAGAAGACAGGCGTGAAATGGGAGCAATTCCACGTTTCGTCTGAGTGTGGTGCTGGAGGCCCAACTTTAGTCCCTAACGATGGGAGGGGAACGTAGATCTTACGCTGGAGGAGACGCATAGGAAGGAGAAATATCCTCTTTATGTACGTTTCCTCCAACGTCGATTAAGGTTAGGCAGCGGACGCTTCGTCATATTGGCGGATTCAGGTGGTCGCTTGCTCGTTTGCCACCTTATGATATGAAAAAAACCTACTTCTCCAACAGCAGTTTTTAACTAGTATTTAAGACAATTCCATTATGAACCCACGTAATCTACCAACGAATTTCGAAGACTATCACTTTTCTTCAATGTTATTGTAGATATTTCAATGCCACGTAACTTAGCATCCTTTCATGTAGATAAGTATATCCTGTGATTACGAAAAAGTGATAAGGTAAATGAAAATATTGCTAAACATAAGTATGTCTTTAAATAATAACAATATATGCAACATTAACATGACACTTAAACTAGTTTAATAAGGATATTTACAATAACTAAAATTAATGCAACTTCATGGTAAATAAAAAAGGTAACTAGTTACCTCTTAACTTTATAAATGGTTTTCAACATATGACCTACTGCGTACAGCGCTATCACAATTTCAAGGTATAAAATTCATTGGCAGGAAATAACCTCGGAATTTTAATTAGATTCCAAATTAAAAAGAAAAATATAATTATCAAGACCAAATATCTGTATGTTGGCATAAATCTGATTTAAATATAAACTCAAACATTTCACTACGAGAGAAAGGAAAAGGAAGAAAATTTGCTTTATGTACGTAAAAATCCATTCGTATTACCAAATGTACATATGATATGATAGAAAGTGTAATAAAAAATATTTTTATTTTTATTTTATTTTTATTAGTTCGCTAGTATGTACGCGCCCTAAGATATATCAGTTCGGAAATACATAAGTAAATATATCCAAGCGACAGGAAATATAAAAATGGATAAAGAATGCGATTTCTTCATATAAATATTTACATTTAACCAACAAATCAACAGCACGCGCTGTCCGGTGAATATTTTCTGATTCTATAAGATGGGACAAATTATGTATATTTAGACCTGGGGAAAGTAAGACTTTATTTATCTAAGTAATTTATAAATCGGAGATTGGTGCTGTATGGTAAATATTATGTTTGGTTACAATTTATGAAAAAAAAAAGTGAAATTGTAAAACCAAAACACGGTACCTAATCTATACAGTGCACGTTTGTATCGTTATCAGACTATGTCGTAATTGCTGACGATGAAAAAATATTGCCGCCACAATTTCCATCCGCATTGCTGTTAGTGAAACGATTTCTATTGGTAGAGTATTACCAAATAGTACCATTGACGTTGCACTCCGCGCTAAAACTACTTCATATTTCAATATACTGCGCCTCAATATTTTTATTTTATTATACAAAAATGCATATCAAATCAATTATTAACACCAGCATCTGAAACTGTATGTATCGATAGGAATCTGTGAGAAAGCCGTTAAGCCACCAGATGGCGTGACTTATTGTTTCAATGTACGGCTAATAAACGATTACTTAGCGTAGCACAGACTTGGTGGTTAAAAATATGATTTAAAAAATAGATAATTTCGTAACAATCGAGTGCTACATAACGTCGAGGTCTATTGAAACTGTTAACAATGGAAACTCTTTCCGATGTTAATGTTTGCCGTTCGGCGCACCACAGCGCTAGTGTCGCGCACAAGCAACCGTGAACAAACATTGACCAAGCACGCACTGCGCTCCGACGGCTCGCCGCAACATTCTTAGCGTAAAAGTTAACGTGAATGGTTTACTCTATGTAATTTGCGATTCGAGTTGATATTTCTAGGATTTTCTATCGAATAATATAGTGCGAACGAACTATTGACATATAACGAAACTATAAAACCTCTGTGCACGATGAGTGCTGCTGAATCGAAAAATGTGTTACCAATGAAAATGATGCAAGTTGAAAAATTCACACAGCGCGCAATTATTAGTAAGTACTTTAAAATTATTGCTAAAGTTCCTTAACATATATTTTACTTACTTTAAAATCTTCTTGAGAACACCATTACAAGAATAATATTTTGACTACCTACGTTTTAATAATAAATAAAATAGTGTTGCCATTTCAGTGGGAATTTATTTTCAGTCCATTTTTTATTATAATTTTATTTCTAACATAGATTTAACTATACTAGTAAGTAATTTCACATTATATAACAATTGCACGTAAAGAACTATTTACACACAATAGTCATAAATGCATATTTTTATTAATTTTTTTACGCAGCGATATTGTATACGGTATATACCTATATCCGTAAGGATTGATAAGTAAAAGTGAACGTACAATGTAAAATTTAATTTATAGACAGTAAATTACATTGCACGTAATATTTTATGAGGCATGACGCAAAATAAGTACCTTGTACATATCTTTTCCTTATAATATTCAATTAATTTTAACATTCTTTACTCTATTTGTAAACATAAAGTCATATTCAGTTACGAAAAATGTTATAATTGTTTTACTCGCGCTATTTTTGTACTGAAACATTTTATATTCGTATGTAACTTAATTGCCTCCATCATAAATGTACGCGCGCACTTTTTGCTTACAAACAAAAACATCAAGGTCATCACAATTACTAGATATATCAAGTAAAAGGTTGAACAAAGAAACATGTTCTCACGTACAAAAACTTTATAAAATCACACATGAATATACGAATAAAATTAATTTCCTAATAGATTATGTTAATTTAAGACTAGTAACACAGTAATAAGTAGAATAATAATGTTTACTTGGTGTAAAATATGATTCTGAAGTAAGTGGAGCATCTAAAAACCGGAATAAGGTCGATGACACAGCACAATCGCGAAAGAAGTACAAACCATGGCTCACTGATTGTTGTACGTTCTTGTAATACTCTGAATTGCTGTTTCTTAGATTGTTGTGCAATACCGCACTCGATGTTGTAACACAACTTCTAAACAAAGTTTGCGGGTCTTTAAAAATTTTACATTATTTTGTAAACACAATTCATTTGAAATACCAAAGTTATGGACTATAAACATCGGGCTTACGTCATATTACGTATGGAATGTTAATTATTAATTAGAAAACAAGACTTGTGCAGATAACGGTTATTTTTAAATTATTTTTAGAGGACATTATAGTCAGTGCGCCATGCACAAGAATATTTATTTTCTAGATGTGGCACATCAAATACTACAATCGGTATAGGTTGCTTTTTGCTTTGATAGACACAAGCTAATTTAGTTGGACAAAAAGAAGCATAATAAAGGAAAGTTGTCGCATGTCCACATTATGCAGAATAAATGATAAATAACAATGACTTCATGGAACAATTGCCATCACGCGATGATTTTGTTTAAACATACAAACCAATAAGGCATTCGATCAATTCAATCAACTTTTCTTACTTTTGCTTCGAACCATTAAAAAGAACATTTAAGCGCAGGAAAGTTTTAAATATAATTAAGTAGAAAGCGCAGTAAGAATAGGAAAAGACGAAGAACTAATTTCGTCGAAATCTAACACCTGAGTCATGAAAAAAAAATAGAAATAATTTTACTTGGCGCCGGAACAATGTGGTACTACAGCAATAGCTCGATTAGGCAATATTCGAAGTGTTTGTTTTTAGTAGAAGTTATTTCATATCAAGTTTCAACCATACTTTCATATTTTGTACATCAGTATATTTAGCGTTTTTGTTTTTGTTTGTAAAATTGATTTTTAATCCTTGTCTATTATCGGAGAACGCTATTTTTAGGTTCAAACAAGGCAAATAAGTATAATTTAATTCCTAATTAAATCCTTGATAAACGTGAATCCCACTAGTGGTAAAAAGTGTGTATTCATATAAGTATGTATAGCTAACATAAATAATATAAATAAAATACTTATCGTGATATTATGTACATTTTCTGTTATATAATACTTTTACCACACGTACGTTTACCTGTGAAGTACATACCTACTGCAACTGACCTGATTTCACATTGGATATTTGAACCTAGTTTTAAACCACAATACAGTTGGCTAATATTACAAACACATATCGGCGATACTGCAAACCGTGCACTCTTCAAAACTGTTCGCTAAGAGAAATAGAATTTAGTTATTTTATTTTAAATGGCAGAATTTTCTTTAATGTCCACACTTTAATTGTGATTTAATTAATGTCATTTAAAAATTAACTGTGACGTTAAATGACACCTCTCTGTTTAAATGTAACGTTTGTGTTTTTTTCTAGTATATTTTAATTCTTGTAAGATTTTCATGCAAACATTAAACGTATTTGCGCAGTATACCTATTTATAATTTTAATAAAATTCACTATTGAGTGTATCAAATATAAGGTTGGTTTCCTATTTTATTTGTTAGAAAATATTAACAATTCATTTTATTTTTTATCTGTTCTACTTTGTTTTTCTTAACATAACCTCTTATTTTTTCGCGCTGTTTCTTACCAGCTGTTACATTTTCAGCACGCAACGTCAATGTTCATTAAAGAAGAAAATGAGTCGAAATTCAGGACGTAGAATTCTCGAGTTTCACGATGACCACTGTTGCACGGGAAATGTCATCGGCAATTTCCGACGCTCTTCCTCACTGCGACTGCGCGGCGAGAAAATGGTGCAGCGGTCACCATTATCTACAAGAAAATTAATACCAATAATCACGGAAAATTCACACCACAAGACACGAAGCGATGGCTCTCGACTACCAGAGCCAAGCCATCGCCCTCGGAGCCATGTAAGTATAGCGCTAAAACAACTTATTACAACAATGTCGATGTGTCGTCTTTATAACAAAAAGAAATCTTGCTTTAAATGCTATTAACATAATTGTAATTAATACAAAATGTTTATTAGGCAATACCTTATAAATTGACTAAAAACCCAAAGGAATTGTTGAAGTAATGTTTCCAAATGTAATATTTTAACAAAATATCTATTAACAAACTAAATGTCAATCAATCCATTATGTTATTACGAATAACACATATCAACTTCTACCAAATGTATAACCTTTGTTTCAGTCATTTAATTCAAATAATCAGGGCAAACCCAGAAAATCTTGCCTTAAACCACAAGATCCTTGCTTAGATAGAAATCTGAGTATGACCGATTCAGCTCATACACCACCAGGTTCCCCAGAAGATTTGCCCGATGATGAATCTCTGCATAGTTATGGCAGTGCCGCCACTGCTGCCTCGGTTGATGCAGGCTATGCCCCATTTAATGGAACCACATTCAGCGGTAGATCTATGCGATATGTCCTACATTGCTCATCTCATGCAGGACTGGCAGGTGATGAATATCTTACACCAACACAAAGAGCACAGAAACAAATCCGTCGGTTAAAAGCCTTACTTTGTCAAGCTAAGAAGGATTTGGAAAAAAAGGATAGTGAAATATTCCATCTGACTAAAGAAGTAGTAGAACTACGATTGTACAAAGCATCAATATGTTCCCCTGATGAAAAATCAAACTCTAGTGAAATGGTGACAATTAGGGAAAATGCTGGTGAAGCCTCAATTGAGGAGAGTATCAAATGCAAAGAGTCCTGCAGGCAGTATGATGTAACCGACAGCCCTCTGTTCAAGGATCAGACACCCACAAGATGTCGCAATGATATGCAAGGTTCTTTCACTGACTCTGGACATTTTGAAGACTTGACAAACTCATCACTTCACTCCAAGGAGTCTGTTTTGCTTACACATGATGCATCTTGCATGACCGAAGTGAATAACAGTGAAGAGGAACGCCGCATCCTAATTTCTCATTATGAAAGTAAGATTGAAACAATGATGAGATCTCATGTAGGGGACACACAGGAACTCAAAAAAGCCCATAATGATAAAGTTGAAGCATTATTGCAGAAGTTGGCAGATGTTAATACTCGCTACTCAGAATTACTGCCTAATTATGAGCAAGCTAAAGAGAGAATTCATACATTGGAGAAACAATTGGAGGATGCCAGCAAACAACTAGAAGATGAAGAAGGCAGGCACCGCGCTATGTATCTGCAGATGTACAACAAAGGAGTTGAGGCTGCTAAATTTGAAACAGAGAAAGTGAGAGAATGACTCTAGTCTTTTTAAGTCGTTTTTACAGATTTTATTTGTAAATTATTAAGTTGTATTTATCTTTTGCAGGAAAGCGAAACTGATGTAGCACAAGGCCAGCTAAACCGAGTATCAGTAGAAGAATTACTGACGCAATTACAAATTACACAGACTGAGCTCGAAAATGTCCGAGTAAGTTAACAATAACATAGAAGTAAACTTTCCTCTATCTTAACCTTCCTTATTAATCAGAGGTTTAGCTAATTTATTAACTATCATTTTCCAAAACGTACAAGTTACATTATAACTTTCATTCTTCTCTATTAGATATGCTAATATTTGTTGGTGCTAAAACTATAGTTTATTAATGATCAGCAAATAAACATTGGTGTCAAGTAAAACACAAATATGACACATGTAGTTGCAATTAACCAGAACAGCTTTAATGTGTAGTGAATTACAGGATACGGCATTCACAACGGACCGCTCGACAAAGTCACAAGCACTTCTAAGTGCAAAGGAGGCTGTTTCTTTATGGGTCCTAGGAGCTCGCAAGGTTGGAATTTTGTATCGGAAGAAAGAAATTTTGTTCACATTATTTGTATTATTTCTTTCACTTTGCTTCACCGCACTGGTCAGAGATCTTTATTTGTGTTAAGAGTAAATTTTTTTTATTTCTCATAGGTGGAAGGTGGTGTGGGATTCTGTTAATCTGCTGGTAATTAGGAATTAGGAAAACTTTTATAACAAAGTAATACAATACAATTGTATGTAATAATGTCCATCCAAAAATAAAACTTTTGTAACAATTTATTAATATAAATTAAGTACATATTTATTTTAACACTAATAATATTTTTTATAATACTTCAAGGGCTAACAATAATAAGATATTTAGCTTTATTTTATTTAATTAATAAGGTAAAAATAACTTGTAGCTTTTTACTTTTAACACAAGTTTAATGCTAATAATTTATTTGCATGTGAAATTATGAAACAGCCTCTTTCGGTTTTTGGGTTCAATAAGTGCTTGAGAATATCCATATAGGTATAAATTTACTTTGATTTGAGTAGTTTTGTAGTATTATGTATGATTGAGTGTTTTAATTAATTCCTTTTTTCCATCAGTGTGTAGCTTCTTTAGAACCTAGTACCTTATTTGCCTTCATACCACTTTAACATACTAATAACTAATTATTTTATATATTAGTAGCACTCTATATCCTGTAGTTGCACCTTTAAATGTAATTATTTTTCAGGCAATGTACCGCCGTATCGTGGAGTCGCAGAAAGGCAATAAGTCCAATGTAGACCCCGAGGTAACACTACAGTTCCTGAAGTCCGCTATATATTATTTTCTCACCGACCCAGAGAATCATCAAGGTCATCTCAATGCCATCGAAAATATTCTCGGCTTCACCGAAGCGGAAAAAAAGAATATTCGCAAAGCCAGAGCTACATAAGTTGATTCGGTGAACTGCTGTGAAAGTGTGATAATTATTTCTCCATAAGTAGGGTACATTTTTATTTGCTACTTAGAAGTATTATTTAGCATGTCTTAAGAGACAATACATAATGTCATAATAATGTTTATTGAGAGCACTTCATTTATTTAAGTTAGAAGATATATTATTTTATAGCATGTAATGCACATGAACATTTTAGCAAAGATTATAAAATATATAATCTTTTAGTCTAAATTTCTTGATACGAATTATAATACACATTTTTGTGATTTTATTTTCTTGTAGTTTGTAAGCGCCAAAGATACATTCCTGAAATTTAAATTGTGCAATTTTGACTTTATTTTTAGGTTCCAAGAGTACATTTTACTATAAATTACGTTTATTTGACAGTATTTTTAAGCGTTATTCCTCTTGTTTGTTCCTTTATTTTATAGTTTTATTCTTATTTTGTTGATTTCACAATGCATGTCATCACTATTTATTAAGCCAAAATATGACAATATCGCATAATTTAAACTGTTATAAACATTGTAAAATGTTGATACACTATAACATTGAAGATTGATTTCGAATAACACAATACGATCTCTATGCTTTCATATGTTAATTTTTAAATAAGTAATAATTACTTAGGTTTTTTGTTATTCTGATTTGTCTTCATAAGTTATTAGTTAATTAAATAAAACATATTAAAAAGCTACTTAAATCTTGCCACGTACGCTGTCTGTGATTAGTGCTTGTGATCTATTTATATCAATAAATTAAAGCCATAATAACTTTTTATACTCTTTTTGATTTGAAATTCAAAGAAAATTATGTTGTATTGATTAAAAATACCATCAAATATTGATCAAAATACCCACTTAATTACTTTAAAATGATTTTATTATAGGAATGATCGATGATTTATTACTAATTTTCTATGCATGTCAAATGAAAGAGATTTAAGACCTTGTAGAGGCTAAAGTATAATATTTATCTAAGTTCCTTTACTTTGCATTATCTTGCCTGCTCTAACATAATAGCAATTTAAATAATAGAGTAGTAAATATAAGTATCGGAATTAAGTATTATCTAGGAAATCTAGTACCTAAGTTAATTAGGTATTTTGTTTTTCTGCTCTTTGTCGTTTGACAGTCGCTGGTCGGATTTGTTTTTGTGACCCTACTTTTACCTTTGTTTTTAATAAACGAGGAATGATTAAAAAATGTTTTATTTTTAATCCTCTAAAAGATTACAGCATATGCAAAAATGTTGCTATGTTAAATACATTAGAAGGGATCACATTTTATATCAAAAAGGATCAAATAAAACTTCGGTTTAGCGTAAATGATTAAAATTATTTATTATCCTAAACTGTTGGTAATCAATTCATTACAATTTTACACAAAAAAATTCAAAATTTAAAGCTGGTGCAGACTTTAGAGGTAATATCCAATTTACGGACATGCGTGTCAACCCTATGCTTCTAAACTCCCATTCGCACGGGCGTTTTTGCAACGTGCCTTACAATAAAAAAAAAATGCATTTTACAAGCGAGAGCGTTAAAAAGGCGTCCGTGCGAATGAGAGCTAATGCGGTAACACTTAAACATATTGCTTTCCCTCTCATTCCCTTTGAAATAGAGTTAAGAATGTCTATGTTCAAATGTTTCAGTAGTGGAAACGCACCGTAATTAACATTGCCAACATGTTGCAGAGTTAATTATCCAAACATTGCACGCGGCAACGCAATCTCCGTGACCGATATTGTTTTACACAACGCTTCATAAAATAACTTCACAACGTTCATATTGCAATCTCGAGTCAGTGAAGTTAGCTACGATTTTTTACGCATGTACAGTCGTAAAAAAATATAACCCTGAATAATCATAAAAAATACAATCACCAGGATTCAACACTATTTTTCTCCTTTCAAAACAATTCTCAGTCATATTGCGATAAAAAGCAACTATAAAAATCAGTGACCATCCAACAGACAACACATACATTTCTAGTATTTCTGTAGAAAAACTCATTCATTCCAAGTCAAATAAGCTTTATAAATTCTCATTTCTCTCACATATTTCATACACTTAGCATTCTGAAGCAAATATTACACCACATTTCACAACATAGATTTATCACAACCATCTACGATCTTTGTACAAATTTAAAACTATCAGTGTTGCCTTTTAAAAATGTCTCTTATTGTAAAAAATCTAAAAACACCGTCGTAAAAAATATAAACTTCATATAAAGATACATGAACAAGCACGTTTTTTCATATTACGAAACATTTTGAAGGCATTTATCATTTATGGCACAATTATATGATTATCTTGTGTTTGTCATGAATAAAGATAAGAGATTCTGTTCAGTCTTTTGCTGTTTAGCGGCCGGATTATGAGGTAAAATTGCATCCTATTTTAATTAAGCAAATCAGTTTTGCGCTATTAAATCGTAAATTATTTGAACTTTTTCACTTAACCATAACCTTATATTTAGTACTTAAAAACCCTTAGTTAATACCTATAATTAAATGATATAATTTTTCATCCAAATTCATTTTTCGAATTTTTTACGAAATATAAAAATATAATCATAATTATTTAGATAAAATTGTCTGTAAATAAGAATTTCATTTAAATTCATGTAAAGTCAAAATAGCAGCTATTAAAAATAGTAGGAAATGTTAAATGCGTAACATTAAAAGCTCATAGTAAGTGAAATCATAAATTTAAAAAAAAAACATATTTTTGTACTATTACTATATACTATTGTTTTTAGAAAAATATTGCAGAAATGCCATTGATCAGATAAAAAATGTTTGATTTAATACTTATAAATCCTTTTAATAAGGAAAAAATTAATGCAACTTATTGACTTGTTTATATTAACTTGAAATTCTAAAGAATCTGTTAGTAAATGTGTTAAAAAATAGATTTGTATTTTGTGAGTTACCTTCGGTGCTAAAAGCTAAAACTATATGACTCAATCGAAGCTGAATTTGACCTCTTCTCTAGAGGGGTCATTATTAGCTGCCATAGCCTGGAGCCAGTATCGACTTATCTGACTCTCTATGGAAGGTGTACTTTCCTTTCTCGCATTCGCGGCTCGTGCCTTTCTCTTCGCTTTACTATGTTTGGTTCTCCGTCTGCCGACTTTAGTCTTCATTTCAGCTATTTTAACAGACAGCTGGCTGTCGAGTGAGTTGCGACGTGATTCGACGGATACGTGACGTAGACTGATGCTGATCTGCGAGTCCTGTGAGTTGCGCCTGTCGGGTGTGGAGCTGAGCGAGTGGTGCGCGTGCGCCGGCAACACGAGCGCGTCACGTCGCCGCACAAAGCGCGGCAGATTGGCCGCCCATGATGATGATAGTTCACCACTGGAATGAGAAAATAATCATTTATAAACTTTTAATAATTTTGTTGTAAAACAATGAACCAGTCTACCTTGTATTCGACACTAGCTAGCTAAAATGCCTATGTTACTCAGCGATAACATAACTTTTTAACAGTGAAAGAATTTTGGAAATCGGCCCAGTAGTTTTGGAGTTATTTCAATACATTCAAATTACAAATCTTTTCTCGTTATAACATTAGTATAGATATAGATGAATCCTTCAGACTGAATTTCCCACTATATTAAGATAAGCATTTTCTTTATATTGCAATGGAAAGAATATTTTTTTTTACAAATCTTTATTCATATCGTATTTAAGAAAGGTTGCCTCGCGTTTACATGTACAAATAATTAATTTTGTACATGTAAACGCGATGTCTGTGAAGCGCGTCGAGTCGATTCAAATCGTTTACAAAAAGTGTGGCTGTAAGCGAGTCTCGCTTTATGATTAGATACGGGTCGTTGTGTATCGAATAGATTTGATCGGGGTCAATGGACGCGGGAAAGGATTGCACGGACGTACAGCCACTGTTCGTACCACGACATCAAAAATAAAAGTTTTGGTTTCTTTACAAGGAAATAGCCTGATACATTTAACATCCTAAAGTATATATGACGCATTTTTTAACTTTATATAAAACTAGATGTTGCTCTCGTCTTCGTCCACGTGAAGTTTAAAAATATAGCCTATTTTACTCAGTGATAACGTAGATTTTTAATGGCGAAAGAATTATTAAATACCGGCCCAGTTTTTTTGAGTTATACGTACAAAAATCTATAACTATAAATCTTTGCACATTATAAAATTAGTATAGAAATAAAGATAATTTAAAGTCTTGTAAGAGATTTTGTAATAACATACATATAATAAAATAAAGTAGTAAAGTAGATTTAGTAGTTTTTAATATGATAGTATGTTATGGTGTGTGATGTCGTGTGATGTGGTATGATGGTGTGTGATGTTGTGTGATGGTATGTGATGGTGTAGGGTACCTCTCGTGCTTGTCGTCGGTGTGGCAGTCGATGGGCGCGCGGTCGAGGCCGAGGCCGACGGGGTCCTGGCGCGAGGCGCCCAGCGAGATGGAGATGCGGCCGCGCGCCGCGAACTCGCCGCGGCGGCGGTACGCGCGCGCTATCAGCTCGTCCTTGCGCGCGCGCCGCGTGCCGTCCGCCTCCACCGAGCACCCGCACTTCCTGACACATCGCGCACACTACACCCTACTGATACCCCACCTACTATCTACTATCAGCTACCTTCAGTAATAAAAGGCGCTGAGTGGAATTTGAGTGCTACTTAAGCATGGTTAAAGAAAATTTATATGTTTAATTTTTATTTTGTAACACTGTTTAATGTGTTACAAAATGGAGCTTATAATTTCGTAAAATGTTTTATTACATGTTAAAACACGAGATGGTGTACTAAACTTGACAGTACATTTCACGGAAAGTACAGGTGAAAAGATTTCACTATGCCTCATCTATATATTTTTTAAATATCTTTGTATTTAAGCTATTGTTCAGGATAATAATCTATTTGTCATATGTTAAACACAAGCCTAGATAATATCAGTAATGTTTTGTTAAATTAAACAGGGACAATAAATTGCATTATCTTGCACTAAGATACTTAAAAGAAAACATACAAAATTTTTAAAGTAACGCTATTTACAGTAAACTGCATAATTATGCATACATTTACAAAGCTGCAGAAACTCGTTTACGTTTCCGGTTTGAAATTTATGTATGTAGGTATCCGTCCCTTATCCCCATTTGTTTACCTGGCCATGTATCTCCTCCAGGCGGCGGCGGCTGCCGGGGTCCAGGTCCAGGAGGCCATGAGCGCGCCGGCCGCGAAGCAGCACAGCAGCCGCAGCTGCAGCACTGACACCGAGGGCCGCGCGCCCGCGGAGCACTCCATCTCAGGCTCCTTCAGCGCCTCCAGACGACAGCTGGAACAGATCCATCTTTATAAACACCAGCTTTTCGAACTTATCGTCTTTAAAATGCCTTTTAACCAGACATTTAAGAATAGAGACTAGACATAGTATAAAAATTTTCACCGGTACCTTCTTTGAAGTACTATGTTAGTTGTCAAATTTAGTACGCCACCTCATGTCCTTATCTTCACATGTTATAAAATATTTTTCAAAATTATAATAAGCTCAATATTTTGTTATAAAATAACCAGTGTCACAAAATAAAAATATAAATATGACCGGTACCTATTGGCATTTAATTATATTGACATGTGGTTTTGAGGATCTTTCAATAGCGTTAGTAGATCATGTGAAATGTCAACTATGCTTTCTCTATATATTATTTGACTCTCTGCTTTAAACCCTTAAGATGGTATTTGTTTATTAGTGGTAGTGATACTGACATGATATTGTTCATGAAGGCTCGCCTCCAGGAGTCCGCGTTCCTGAACTCGTAGACGTGGCAGGCGACGGTGACGGTGATGAAGACGGCGACGAGCGCGGCGGTGAGCGAGCACCGCGTTATCGTCTGCCGGATCTTGTTGGCCGCGCGCGCCGATATCACGTCCTTGCTCGACACACGCACCGCGATCAGTGAAAACACACCTTAAACACACAATTCATTTATTACTACAAATCGATAAGAAATGAGGAACATCGATATTCTGGCTAAATAATTTCCAGTTTCAAAAGAGCGGCTGATATTTATACCCACGATATCAAAAGTTTTTGGCCTGATGATCGAGGACCTTCGATAATATTCTTTAAATAAGGAATACCGCAAAATAATACAAAACTTTAAGGGCCTAACGGATAAAATATGATGGAGGTATAGGATTTTGGTACTCTGACAGTGACGTCACTTTTAAGCTATCTGGACCTCTATCAGGCAGCGGTGTGACAGGCCCTAAGTAATCTTACTAATATTATAAATGAGAAATATACATGGATGGATGGACGTTTGTAGCCTAAACTGCTGTACGGAGATTTAGTACAAATGTAGAGGATAGTCTGAAACAACACATGGGCAGATTACTTTTAAGTTATTTAATTCCACGCGAAGGCAATCGCGGGCGAAAAGTGAATAAATATAAACATATTGCCATTTTGAGAGATACCCCACAAGGAATATATAAAATTCACAATAATTTGAATAGATTGAAGTAAACCTACTTACCACGTAAAAGGAAGTATCCTCCAAGTATCAAGACAACAGATAGTGGCGCCAGCAGTAAGGCGGCACGCATTGGGTGGTTGACATATCCCACGAAGCAGACGCCGGTGACGCTGCTGCCGTCCACCTCGCCGAACGCCATCGTGGTGATGGTGAGCACCAGCGGCAGCGACCACGCCACCAAGTGGAAGTACGCCGCCTTCTTGTCTATCCTGTCTTGGATCTTGCCTGTAATCAATATTATCAATAAAGTGCAGCTTTAAACGCAATTAGCGACATTTTTATTTACATACAAGCTTTCGCCCGCGACTCTGTCCGTGTGGAATTAAAAAGGCAAAAATGAGTAACCTATATGGTATTAAAAATTAAAATAGTATGTAAAAAATATTTTCACTCACCCAATGCTCTAAAACTCATATGCCACGCGTACGTGAAAATAACGAACCAAACGCACGCAGCCATCATGAAATAATATACCTAGAAGAAAAAAAACATTTAATTAACACACACTTTAATCACATCTTATAATGCAAATGCAAAAATAGGTCAGAATACGAAATTTTTAATCAAAACGATTCAGCATATTCACTCTTTTTCTAACAAGCACTTTCACACATAAAATACTATTTAAAAAAGTCTAAGTATGAAAATTCATATGTAATTTTTCTTACCAAGACAAACACGACCACACAGGACAAATTCTCCTCAGCTGAAGGCTCCCCGCGTCGTCTGGTACCATCCTTTGAACACACTATGTCATCCCTCGAACCAACTCCAAACTGCACCAACCAACTGCAATAAAGCATTAAAAAATCAAATAACAAAAGAAAAGATGAACCTTAGTATAGATTTTCTACTTATTCAACACCAAATGACAAATCTATTTTTAATATTATAAATGCGAAAGTTTAGATGGATGGATGTTTGTTAGAGTATGTAGCCTAAACGGCTTAACGGATTTCGATGAAATTAGGTATAGATGTAGAGGATAGTCTGAAAGAACATAAAGGCTACTCACTTTTATATTTTTTTAATTCCACGCGGACGGAAAATCGGGCGAAAGCTAGTTTAGATATAAATTTACGATTGTTTCAGAAAATTAATTTCAATAATCTTACCCCATTGAAGCAACAGCAAAACACATATTGATATAAAAGATGACAAGCGCAGGATACTTGTTAGCACTACGCCAGTCTATAAGAAACGTGGCGACAGTCAGCAAATTGAAAGCCAAGCAGACTCCAGCCCCCCAAGCCACTAGTCGATGTATTTGTTGATGTTCGTCTTCAGAGTATAACGGATCCCGGCACGGTAGACCACATCCTGATATACCTGGAATAATTAAAACAGTAAATAAATGTGTACTAAAAATAAACTTTTTATCAAGCAATATCAATAGGAAAGAAATTAAAAAACAGTCTCCTTGACTTCTGCAATTCAAACTTTAAATTATGTATCTACACATTACTACAGCAAATTTTACTAAAGAAATATAATAAAGTAAAAAAATTACCTTCATAAAAATGTACAGTTTTGTCAGTATGTATTAAAGGTGATAAACATTTTCCAGTTGTATTAAACTTCATTTCTCTAGCAGCATTGTCACATTTCGAGGGGAACCTTGTTGTGTTGCATTTTAAAAACGACGGGAAATACGAAGTATTGTATAAAATAGCACAAGGTTCCATTGTTATTTTGCACATTTCATATGAAGGCAGATACACCATATCCTGTCCAAGTATCCGTTCACATTTTGGCATAAACACAGCGCACAGTAAAGGTTGAATCACAGCCCAACATTTTGGCACATTTATCAACACCCTGTACAATTCCAATTGATTTTGTATTTTATTCTGCGTATCATAGAAAGTAAGGTGTACACTCGTTTTATCGTATGGTAATTTAATACCTAAACAAGTGTTTTTGCCCAATGTTTCACATCTTGCTTTTCGAACACAACTATCAAGTTTGATTTCTCGTTCTGGAAACCATTGTGTAACCTTCTCCGGTTTGATCAGTCTAAAGTTTGGTGTTCCATTGATAGGTTCTAAGCGTTCTGTTGCATTCTCTCCAATGTCTGTTATCGCATTTTTGTCCCCTCCGGTGTCATATTGGCTCGCCGCACATACTGAAACTGTCACCAGCCAGTACGCCCATCTCCAAAGCATCTGCAACAAACACACCTCATTGAGCGCCTAAATAAAAAAAAAACTAAAAGGGTTGAAATAAAATAAATATTAAATGAAAACTACACTTTCATTTTATAAATGTTCCTTTATTTATGTAGGTGTTAGAGGGCAATAGCAAATGAAACCCTTGAAAATTTTATAATTTTATTTCACTACAAATTGTGCTATAAATCAAAGTTCTATATCGAAGCACTAAACATGTTACAGAAACCTTTGTCTAGTTTGGTTTATTGTCCAAGGAATGTGATAAGGATATGCATTAAAAGTCAGTACAAAATCATTTACAACCACAAAATTGCTTAAAATAAAGCAAATAATGAAATAAGTGTTTAAAATAAGGTTCTTATCATTGGTACAAGTAGCGTAGACTTCTGATGTACCAAAACTATTTTAGAAACAGTAACTGAGATATTTTCATTTTAAAACTGGCAATTCTATTCAATCCCCTTGCTTATTTCGATGAAAGAATCCTAATTCAATTTTATTAACTAAACCACATAAAACAGAGTTTACTAATAATTAGTCATTGCATGCACAATTTATCCCACAAGTATCATTTTTTGTTTTTGTAGATAAAAAGAAAAAAAAATCTGATCTTTTGTACTGACCAATTTGGAAAACAAGGATAGGATATTCCTTGGACAGGTTTTCTTTATTTTTACTCATTTATTCCCACATAAACAAAAATGTATATTATAATTTACATAAGGTAATTAGGTGTTTTTTTTTATTTTTATTTCTTTATTAATAACATAATTCAAGTAAATACCAGTCTCTTACTATAAAAACGTTGAGTAACTTCTCCGCCCTGGCTGGTTTTTGCTCCGCGAAAATGTTGGTCAGTTCTTCATTCTTCCAATCTGCAGCTTTTGTGAGATGATTTACTAATTCCATGTGTAAATTACCTGGCACAGTAACAACATAGTTTAAGAACTTTTCAATTTTATAATTAATAAACAAAAGCAACTGATCAACTCACCAGAAATTCCAAGTTAAGGAGGTCACCTGTATGTAATTTTAAAATAATTTTTTGACATAATATAAATTTATTATGTTTCAATCTTACCATAATAACAAAAGCCGTAAATAATTATGTACAACCATTTTTCGCCTTCACTATATTTTTACACTAAGACACTTACAGTTGAATTCATGAAAAATTTATAGTCTGTGCATGCGTTTACCAAAAACATGTGCTAGTTAGAAATTGATTTGCTACCCCTTCTAAAAGAACGATGAGCGCCGCCACCCCTACGGGGCCAGGGGGAACCACGTGGGTTACTAATTCCTCTACGGTTTCCACGATGTCCGTTCATACCACGACCCCTACCTCTATCTTGAATTCGGCCACGGTCATGACCTCTCCCATAGTCTTGGCCTCTTCCTCGATAATTACCACCCCACCTTTGATTTCTATTAAAACTATCATTCATGTCATTATCACCATCCTCACCATAATTTTGTTCAAAATTTTCTTCCTCATTGTATTCTTCATCTTCTTGTTGAGAAAATTGTTGGTTTTCAAAGCCAGAATCATAATGGTTTTTATTATAACCATTGTCAGGAAAAGCAGGCATGTTGCCCATAGGAGGCATATTACCCATTGGAGGCATGTTACCCATCGGAGGCATATTACCCAAGTGAGGTGGTGGCATACTCATTGGTCCCATTGGCCCCATAGTCATAGGCATTGGGGGACCCATCATACCCATTTGAGGCATGTTGTTCATGGGTCCCATGTTGTTCATATCTGAGCCATTATCAAAATTATTATAATCTTCTTGATTATTTTGTTCTTTTAGTGAAATGTCATTTTCTTCATCATAGAATTGATCATCAATGTAATTTTCTTTTTCTCTACCCTCATCATCAGGAATTTCAGCATCAGGATCCTGAATAGGATATTCAAAAGGTGTGAAATTTTCATCATCAGCATCATGTTCTAAATGAGGCATCATATCATGTAATTCTTCTATTTCACCAGTTGCAATGTATCTTTTTAAAGCAATAGGTCCTTCTGTGATTGCTTTCTCTAGTTTGGAGCCAGCTTCAACAGTGATTAATTTTCCATAAATATAAATAGCAGATGGTGTCAATTGTTGAAGTGGTACAGCACCGGGCACTGATTCCACTAAGGCTTGAGTTAATGCTTCACTGGTGGCCTCATCCACTGATGGGCCATGATTCCACTGTGCTTGGAAGTTCCTTGGTATAGGTTTACTATATGGTACTTTCTTTATTTTCTTTTCAAATTCCATGGGCACAAAGGATGTGTCCAAATCTAAGCCAGGTATAACCTTATCAGTGTCAGAAGAAAATATTTCAACTTTGTCTTCTGGCCCCATACCAGGAATCACAGCTGGTTCTTCTAAATCATGATCATCTTGGACACCTGGTGGTAGAGTATTCAAATTATATTTGTCTCTCATTTGATCTCCAGGACGATTACGAGTCCAAAATTTACATGTGTGATCATTAGAACCTGAACATAATATATGTCCTAAGGGATGCCATGCCATAGTCCATACAATAGACTCATGAGCACCTTCAATGCCACCAACTTCTTTATCAGTTCCAACATTCCAGAACAGAATAGCGCCATCAGAACCTCCAGAACAAAATAGACCTTCATGATTTGGATGCCATACTACACTTGAGGCCTCTTTCTTATGACCTCTAAACACTTGCAGTTCAGTTCCAAGTTTTCGTATATCAAATAACTTTAGTAAATGATCTCTTGAAGCTGTTATAAGCCAATTGCCATTATCATTCCATTTTAAATCCATAACTGTAGATTTATGAGCATGAAGAGTTGATAAAGCAGTTCCAGATTTAGGATCCCACAATTTGATTGGTTGTTGATTATCTTTACTTCCTGACACAATAAGAGCTTTTGTTGGATGCCATTGAACACACTTCACATCTGCACCATGACCCCGCAATATTCTTTCTTCTTGACATCTATAGAAATCAAATATACGTAATGTGCCATCATCAGAACAAGTAACTATCTTTGAATCACTAGGGCTGAAACTAATTCCTCTGACTGCTTCTTTGTGAGCTTGATACATTTTAACATTATTCATATTGCTTTGCCAGTACTTGATAAAGCCAGAATGATCACCGGTTACCATCCAGCCTTCGCCATGTGACCATACCATAGATCTTACTGGGGAATCATGGGCTTGTAAGATTGTCTCAAAGTTAAACGTAAGACCATTCCATAATGTGAATTCTCCAGAAGATGCTCCAGTTATTAATCTACGACCTTCTGGCGTCCACGCTACTGCGAAGATTGGACATCGCATTTTGTTAGTGGCGGTTTTAACGAAACGTGTTGTGACAGCGTTAATAGGATTATCGGGGTAAGAGGGCGGCGGTAACAGGTCAGGAGTGTACATAGCGTCCGGTTGCAGTGCGTGCCTGTCCCGCCAGTCTCTTTGCCAAACACGACATTCTAAAGCCTTTATAATAGCAGCATTATAGTCAACAGTTTTACGCATAACAGATTTACGAAGACGTTTACCATCGAAATCATCTTGAGTCATGTTGAGGGGACCCTGAGGTGGGAAGCGCATCTGGTAGTTGAAAGGCCTAAAATTATGGCGTATGTTGTTACGACCAGGTGGGCCCATAGGACCACCCATGCCGGGAGGAGGCATGCTCATATTTGGTGGAGGATGTCCGAAATCCATGTTTTAACTTCGATACCTAATTAGAGAAACATTTATATTACTAAATCATTCATAACAAAGTTGCTACAGTGTTATTCATGTAAAACTGAGGATTCTTTTCATCTTACCTTGTTTTTAAAAACTACAGGTTGACATGTTACACTTCACTTTTCACTTCAACTATACAACACAAAAGTTTTGTTTATCACAATGTATATATGAATGAGAGGAATTAAAATAAAACAAAGTAATCTAACCTATTGAATAAACTAAACAGTTTGGGAAGATTAAAGATTGCTACCGAAAACTACATAGCCAACGAACCAAGCCAGCCATGTTCATTCACCACAGACAAACCACAAATTACAAAATAACGAAATTGAAGTCGATGGAGAGAAAAAATTGTGACTGTTTTTAAAAGATGTGTTTATATCAGTTTTTTCTGTAAATTGGTTTTAAAATTATTTAATTCACTTAATTTCACACTTTCGGGAATCAGTCTTTAACTTTGTAAAGAAAACTACATTGACAACGTCTTTATTGGTTAAAAGTATTGCCATGTGCGAACATTCAATTTCTACTATTCTTAATCTGTTGCAGAGTTACCGATTAATATGGGTGGTCTATACGAATACGTCTATACCATGCACACCTCAGCATCAGAGCTATTTACTTCCTTACTACCTACTTATTATATCTTTGTTTAGAACGAAAGTTTTTTCTTATGAAACAACATGTAGTAGGCCAACAAAAATTGATGACATTGACCTGGAGTTGTTGAGCCGTAACTCAACTGTTCCAGAATATATGAGCTGATCTTTTGAAAGTCAAACAGTTTTTCACACATCTAGTACCTAAATCAAGTTATATGGGAGCAGAAACAGTTTTATGAATAGATCGGCTCTCCTTTTTTTTTATAGTGGGGAAATGCTTTACGAATACCCCCGCGCCCTAAGAGGGGAAAGGCGCGGAGGTTATGTTGGACTCACACCCGATAAGCGGGAGCATACCAACTAAAACCCCACTGTCTCCATCTTTTCACCGGGCACCGGGGTGTGGGCACACAGCAAATATTCTTCCACTCCCCGTTGGTGACTGGCTGTTACGCCTCCTCGGTTGTTTGGACCGCTCTTGCGCGGAGAACCACGCGCCCTCTGCTACTCAATCGGAATGGCGAACTTCCCCTTGGTTCGCCACTCGAGTACGGTCAAGGTGGTAGGGTCCGGGCAAAAGCCCTCCCGTAAAGCGCCATGGAGCCAACGACGCCCATGAACAGTCTCTGGCACTTCGCCTTCGGGCCGCCGACGTTCGGCAGTAACCTGCCTAGTGCCGCAGCCGTACGCATCAGCTTGGGCCCCAGCTGTCGGAAGTGTCCCACAAAGGTCCACCGACCGTCCAGCAATAGATCGGCTCTCCTAGAAAAGTAACATTTACGTCCAAAGTATCGCGTCACCATATGTATCATACTTAAATGGTCTTCGAGTAACCTTTCTCGCTTTAATCCAACACAATATCGATTCACCGTTTATTTTGTTTCTCCTACTCTTTTCCACATATAATGGATGGCAAAATATTTCTATCGTTTTTAGGAATAAGTTGTGTATATCAATTTTATTATTTTAAAAAGAAGTCAAGGGTCTCTGACAACATCCGCACTTCTAAAGAGATGAGATCATAAGATTTGTTTAGATAAAAATATATACTATAGGCGTAGTAACCCCGCCATTCGTTTTATGATTTTTTTAACGTAAGACACTTATATACAGCTGGTATGTGATATAACTGTGTATACGACCTATGTTCGTATTCAACATCTGCGTCTAAATTAAAGCTTTAAAAATCATTTTGTACCATTCAACCCTACGTAATAGTTAGTTAAAGTTCTTAAAATGTTTTCATTGATTTTCGATACCTAGTTATTATTACGGGACTATTGTCCCAATCTATTGATTAAAAAGTATTTTCTTACGTGAATAATAGACATATAAATATAAAACACCACATCTTACTAATCTTACTAATATTATAAATGCGAAAGTTTAGATGGATGGATGGATAGATGGAGGATGGATGGCTGTTTGTTAGCGTTTGTAGCCTAAACGGCTAAACGGATCTCCATGAAATTTGGCACAGGTTTAGAGCATAGTCTGGAAGAACACATAGGCTACTTTTTATCCCGGGAATAGGTTCTTTTAATAATTATTTTTTAATTATTTAAATAATTAATTAATTTATTTTTTTAATGTTTACTCGATCATTCTGCAACGGTTCAACATATCTTATTGAAATTTGGCACAGATATAAAACAAAGTCTGGAGTACACATGGGATAAGCTTCATCCCCGAGAAGTGACCGGTTTCCGAGGGATACGTAGCTTTTTATAATTTATATGGTTCGTATGTTTTCTAATACCACGCGGACGAAGTTGGGGGCAACAGCTCGTATAAATATAAAACACCACATTCTTCGGTGATAAACATTTTTAAGATAAATAAACTTGTTTCCTGAGCAAATGTTTTAAAAGCAGTTAAAAGAAAAACTTACTCGAATAGCTTTATAAGTGCTTTTATGTATTACTCATGGCATTATTAAATATTTGATCTGTTAAGGTTCCATGGCGTAGTTAAATAGCTCAACTTGATAACCAATACGATAGTCACTGTCGACGTTTGTTCCACATCAGTAGCATCACATGCTCTTAACATATTTACAAATCTGCACTTTTACAGGACCATTCTAGTGCGCAAGGTAATAACTAGTTTATTTTTCTTCACATTTAAATATTTTCTACTTATTAAGAAAAACAAACAAAAGAATGTCATCTGCAAATTGAACATTAATTTGTCGCAATACACCCTGTATTGAGATAAATGAATGATAGGAAGAGGGTAATAATATGTATATCATAACTTGACAGGAAATACGAATGCAAAATTAAACAAATTCACAATTTCCGGGATGTTTAGGTCCAGTAAATCAAAACAATGATTATTTTGGTTGTGTTGCTGATCCTCGCTTGTTGCTACTGGGGGTATTGGAGCGCAGGAGCTAAGCGGTTGGACCGGGCCACCGCCGCTCTGCCCTGCCCACCTACTCTGCCGCTATTGGGAAATGCTATGCTATTTATTGGTAACTCTGAAAGTAAGTTTGAAATAACTACATACTCACTGTAATCTATCTATGCAAATATTATAAAGAGGAACGATTTGTATTTTTGTATGACTGATTTCACATTCAAATTCTTTCACCATTGAAAAACTACGTTATCAGTAATTAACATAGCGACTATATTTATTTAGTTATTTCAATATAAGTCGCGAGCAATAGCAATATAGTTAGTATTAGATAAAGAGACAATATAGGTAGGCCAACGTTTAATGTTTTTAAAAACAACCTTTAATGAAAATGTAATGAAACAACAATTAGTCATTTCCCACGTCTTATTTAGTACTTGCTTTATTTATTCACAAGAGCTAGTGCATTATCTCGAATCACGAGATGAAACTTCCTTATACGTATCTTGAATCCGAAAATATTAAATAAAATATTCTTTCCCTGACTTCTTTATAGAAATTGTTAAAACCCTTGATGATATAGCGGAATTGAGTTACAAGCATAAAGGAGCTGCAAAACTTTGGCTTGGTCCAAAACTATACGTAGGTAAGTAATACAGTTAAGACTAAAATGCTATTATAACAATACGATCCGATATAACATGATTGATAAATATTTTCCAGCTGTAAGTAATGCAGAAGACGCGAAGATAATTCTAGAAAATTGTTTAGACAAAGATGTCGTGTATCGTTTTCTGCGGCCGTGGCTAGGACATGGACTTTTTGTCGCCCCGCGTAAGTATAAACAAGACTAAAAGCAATTTAATTTTACCTTTCGTACTCCTAGATTAACATTATATATATTTTTAGTTAACTTATGGCGGACTCACAGAAAAGTGCTGTTACCAGTATTCAATAATAAAGTTGTAGAGGATTATTTAGGAGTTATTGGCGAACAAGCAGACATATTGGTTGAAAGACTTTCAGAACAAATCGGCAAGGGGTACTTCGACATCCTTCGATACATTACCGCTTGTACACTGGACATTGTATTTGGTAAGTGTTTTTTAAACATGGGTAAGAACAAATGAGTTAGATATGTTACTGGTTCGCAATAGTGCTAACATATCTTTCTGTTAGAATAGTCCAGACATGATTTTTCGATAAAACAAAATCGGTAAATTTGATTGCATTGAGATGCCCTAGCCGCTATTATATCCGTATTATACTAGTTAAGTTAGGCGCAGTATAGAGTTTATTTACTAACTCTTATAAGAAGGTAATCTCGGAACTCGGAATAGTATTGTTTGATCACGTTTATTAAAACAAATAGGTATACGAGTATGTGCATTGTGTTCGCTAAATAAATCACGTAATGTAACTTGACTTTAAAAATTAAAATTTGATATACTTAATATCTAAGACTTTCTTAAGATATACGTGAAACATGGGCGTCATCAGGGAGACTAGAAAGGGCAGCTAGCTCCATCCCTATATCTAGATCATTGACTGACGACGCTCATGTGATAAACGGTATTAAAAAATAGGGACATAGATGACCGCTTGTTAATTTACCAACAGAAACAGCGATGGGTGAACGCATGGACATCCAGCATTCCCCGGACACGCCGTACCTGCGCGCGCGACACACCGTCATGACGATACTTAATATGCGCTTCTTCAAGGTGTGGCTCCAACCAGACTGCCTCTTCAACTTGACGTCATACGCTAAACAACAGAGCGAAAATATCAAACTAACACATAAGTTTACAGACGAGGTAAGTTACTCAAGTTTTCTTTTGTAACGTAAAGAAAGCAATCAAACGAATCATTTTATGCGACTATCGCTTCCAGTAGAACCAGTTGATACTGCTAATGCAGCGAGATAAAACAATAAATCAACTATGCAATAACTTAAGAATTGTAGATTAGTCCCTTTAAATACCATTCCTTTTCTGTCTTAGGTAAATTAGTAAGTTCAACTTTTACAGGTGGTCCGGAAAAGAAGACTACGATATGAGCAAAGTAAATTTACAAAAACGACAAATGAAATTTCAGGTACGGTACAAAAATACCACTAAATAGTTATACTTTTTATATGTATGAACGTGGTATAAGTAAAAAAGTAAACAATGTATTTACAAAACAAATTATCCTATGCAATTTTACTAGCAGATAATCAAGTTCACACTTATGTGCATGCACATTCTGTTCTGTGCATTGTAGATAACAATGTCGCACATCATTCAACACATTTACGGCTTACGTAAGTGAAAAAATCGTAAAATTTAACAACATATTACGGTACTGGTACACAATGGGCACATCTCGCTATGCAATCAAAGAATCACCTTGCTTATTTACTTCTTAAGACAAACTTGTTGAGAACATCCTCGGTTTGGAATTAGTCATCAAATATTGCATTAAAATCGATTGAATTAATATTAATCACAGCTATTGTATTTACATGGTCGTGAGGTGTGAATGATTTTTGTGCCCAAATATTTGGTGTGAACTAATGTAACGCGTGCCGTTAATTCACATGTCCTTGTGCCTTGATATAGGTTAATGGACTATTATCTCTGGGTACTTAAATTTTAATACGCTATTCAAACTCTTTACATAAGTAATTTAACTGTGTAGGACCATGTCACGCTACCCAATTGCGGAACTTTATCAATATTATCCCACCAATTTTAATTTTTAACTGCATTGCAATCATTTTGGATAGAAGTATGGTAATAAAAATGTTTTCTTAAGGATTCTATTGTACGCTTTTCCGGACATCCTGTATTCTTCTATGATAGAAATACTTTGTAAACAGATGGCAATCTCCGTGTCGTATTAGACATGTTGTTCGGACGGGAGATAGAATTCACCGACGAGCAGCTACGAGAACACATCGACTCTATCACCATTGCTGGCAATGACACCACTGCTCTTGTCACAGCGTACACCCTGGTCCTACTTGGCCTACATCAGAACGTACAAGAGGAAGTCTTTCAAGAGTACGTCATTACTTTGTATCTAGGGTTCTATACGGATTGCCAAAACCAACATATTTGAAGACTTAGTAGGTTTTTGTAATTGTAATGTTATTTCAGGCAACTTTCTATATTCGGCAAATCAAGACGAAATGCTACAAAAGAAGATGTTCAGAACATGCACTGCTTAGAGAGGGTGATAAAGGAAAGCATGCGTCTGTACTGTGTGGTGCCTATCGTTGCTCGGAACATCGATAGAGACTTGTATTTACGTGAGTACTGATGTTTTGGCAATGAAAGCCCACGGTTAATATTGATCTTTTACACTGTAACTCTTACTCCATACAAATTAAAGTTGTTGAAAATATCTTTTTCAGCTTTCTCCGGTGTTACATTGCCTACTGGAACAAGCGCGGTGGTAGGAGCGTTCGCTGTACATCGCTCTAAAGTAGAATGGGGTCCGAATGCTGATGAATTTGATCCCAATAGGTTTCTGCCAGAGAGATCAATTGGTCGACACCCTGCTGCTTTTTTACCCTTTAGTTATGGATCCAGAAATTGTATCGGCAAGTTTTAACAACATTTAATTTGTATTATTTTTATTTATGAGTTAGAAGTGATCATAATATTGTTTTCAGGTCGGAATTTCGGTATGATTATAATGAAGAGCTTAATCTCGAGCATTGTTAGATCATACAAAATGGAAGCTTTAGAAATTGGACCGTTGAAAATGGAACTTTTATTGTTTCCTATTAATGGGCATCAAGTTTGCCTTACAAAGAGATGAACTATAATACTTCTTAGATTACCTAATTGTAGAAAACAACCGCCTTATTACCTTGAGTTTGTACTTTCGAAACCGTTCGCAAGAAAAAAATAATAATGTGAAAATTTTAGACGTAACTTTAGGCATGTCTAATGAATTGAAATAAAAATACAATGTTAGCTTTTATTTATATATTGTTTTACGTTTAATTACAATTGATTTTTTTATAACTTAAATAAATATATTTATGTATTTAATTCCTTTGTGTCGTCCGTGTCATTTTTAATATTCTTCTTTTTGGCCTTATCGGGAGAGACTGTATAGAGTGTGATAAGAGGTTCCGTGGTATAGTCGAACTCCATGATAGCTTCGTGGTCGATGACGTCACGGGAGGCGTCGACGCCGCAAGTCAGGTACTTGGCGTACTTCGTCAGATCGAGGAAGCCGACGCCGCACGGCCGATCAACAAGACGTGACGTCATCATGCCGAGGACGAAGCCCGAGCACACGACAACCGAACCAATATCGTCCTTGAAAATATCGCTTTATAATGTACTAAAAAAGACACTTAAGAAAAAAAAAATGTAAATTCTACTTTCCTTTCGAGCTGTATTTATTTGGGGCATGTCGATTTTATAATACAATTCTTTGTAACTAGTTACCTACTGGTATCGACATGGTTGATATCAGCTGGGTTACCTTCATCAAGAAAAAGTAAAAAAAAACCATACTCACTGGACACAATGCTCCGTACTTTTCATTCTGTGAAGTAAATAATTATTATTTTTACTATTTACAATTTTATCTAGAAAACGTAAATAATTTTTTTATAACTTTATTAACCTTAACCTAATTTGGTTCCACCTGTTTTATCTTCGTAGACCGCATAGAATTCGTTATTTAGTTTATTTTAATAAGTTTAATTCGTATTCTGAAGATTGTGTTTACATGTAAGACGAGAGGCGTGCTTGGATCTTCAATTGGAAATGCTCGATCTCTTTCTATTCCTCTAGATTATGGATTATTTATAAGCATATTTAGTATTTACATACCTTACAAGGTGGCTGACGAATACAAAGATATTTGTTGTCATAATTCCACAAGTTAACGCAATATTTCGACGGCAACAGAGTAATCTCCATTCTATAGAGATGAATTAATACTGGGACCAATAAACCCTGTAAGATTTATAATTGTTTAGAAAATAAGTAACTAAAAATATGCGTTAAATTAACAAGTATAGTTAGTTTAATGTATTATAGTTACTCCTCTCCTGCTTCCCCAACCGTAAAGGCGGCAAGAGCGGTCCCTGTGTCTGGTTTCAACACGAGGTGAAGCAGCTCCGTACCGGACCTTATTTACTACGTAATCTGCGCCTTCCTCTGGCTGATGGAATGAAAACTGGTCGCTTAAGATCAGCAATGCCAGGTTATCCGGCTGACAATCCTTCCATCGCAACGAATGGTTGTATCCTGTTATAAGTGTATATGCCGCGGAATGTGCAGAAATATTAATAAAATTGATTTTATTAAAGCTGTTTGTTTTTTATTTAGGATTTGCAGAAAATAGAACTCACCTTGATGTACACAAAGGTTATTTACCGATCTGCTAATACCAGTTTTCTCCAAAAACATATGAGTACCAGCAAATACATCGAACCTATATTTTTCACCGAAGACACAACTAGCCGGTGTAAGCACAACGTGTGGTTCTAATATGACGCCAGTGCAAAAAACCATAGCATGCGATAAAAAATAAACCTGAAGCAAAATTATTTAAATTAAATTCTTATGGTTACTATTGCTATTTACTTATTTTTAAACCGTCTATTTTTGAAAACAACCAAAAGCCCACTTACAATGTACTGTGCCTCATTATTGTCGGCTTTCTTGCCGAGAAAACCCGCCGCATTATTAAAATCCATTTCCACTGTAACGATTAGGTTTCAACAGTTAGTAACGAAAATGACAAAATATTATCCGCATCAAAAGCATGAAAAATGTTTCAGTAAGTTAACTTCCTTATTCGGACTTATCTTCTAAAAATACATAATTAAAATATTTACGTAATGTCGAAATTCCACCAATCTGACCTGCCCCCATCTTTGGATCTAAATATTCCTGTGTTGTGAATAAGATTCTAAATGAAACAGAAGTTAGTAAGCGTTATACAAATTATAAAGCAATGTTATCGTTTTGATTACGAAGGCATGGCCATGAAAAAACAAAGTAACCAATTATAAGATTAAAAAATAATGAATTGCAGTTATTAGGAAATTAAGTTTAAAGACATAATGTAAGCACAAATGTCCTGCTACCCCATTTCGCCATGTATCATCCAGTCCAGATATGCACAGCCCCTTTACTCTTCGAGATGCAGGTATGCTATTAGATTAATGGTAGTATCAAATAATAATAATAACGATCGTATAATCGGTGCAATAATTTCAGTATTATGTAAAACTAGTTTTCGTCAGCGACTCTGTCCCGTGCGACGTTGAAACAAATTGTTAATACATAGGTGTTCATCCAGACTATGCACTACATCTGTGCCATGGAGATCTATTCCGCCGATTAGAAGATACCTTCTAATAAACATCCATCCAAGCGCATTTATATTAAGAGTAAGAAGTAAAAGTTAACATTTCATTTTACTATCTGTTTCACAGATCAGAAAACAGCTGTCATACTGTCAAAGTCAACGTCAATCGTATTGCTTTCGTAATTCGTATGTTACAAACAGTAATATTTTTAATGATTATTGTTTCAAAACATTTGATATGCGTTTTATCATTACACCCACGCTAATACTAAATATTATCTTTAACTTTTAATTTCCTCCGAACGAGATAAATGTTAGCTGCAACATAATTAAAGCGGTTGTTTAATCAGAACGAACGGATACTGAACAATAATTTTATTTAATTTTTACAGTTTTTATGTTTGTTGAATTTATATTTGTGCGTTATAATGTACGTTACTACTAATACTGTACAAATACTTGCAATATTTATTATTGTGAATATAAGAATATCATTCTCGCAATTTAACAAACCTTGGAATGATAAGTATGAAAATATGTGTCCAAAATTATATCCTAAATATTTTGGAAACTACTCACCGGCTGGTAAGTGTACTATTAATATGACTTTTTTTTAATTCGTATGTTCATCAATAAAAATAGATTAAAGAGGCCATATGTACATCTCATGATTGTTAAATGATTGTTCTGGTTTTAGGAAATCTCACAGCTGGAAATTTCTCAGAAAAGAAGGAATTGAAAGGTGTTAAGCAGTGTGTGATGGCCTGTTGCCTTGCCGAGTTGTGCAATGTTGCCTTCACTGTGGATTCTAGATGCTATCATATAGAATGTGTGAGTGATGAACTCTGCCTACCCCTGCCTCGACCTGGGGCACATAAGTGGGATTCACATGTTGCTATGGTTTTAGTTAAACCTGTTTTACCTAATGGTAAATACAAACTTTGTATTACATTTATATAACAGTAGTTGTTGCCCGAATATCTGTCAGCTCAACAACAAAACTTAATTAGTATCCTTTGTGTTCTTACAATTTATGCTCTATATCTATGTAAAATTTTAGCTAAATCTATTGTGCCATTCTGGAGATATGTAGTAACAAACATTCATCTATCTATCCTTCTAAACTTTTGCATTTATAATATTAGCAAATTTATGTGACATGTTACTCTAATAATAATTTGTTATTTTCTGTCTAGAATACAGTAAAAAAAATGTAGAACTTTATCACAGTAATAGTTGTCATATTTTACCATGTGTTTATTTATTTTTTTTTTCTACAGAAAACTGGCTGGAAATTTTAGATCAATCTAATAATAGAGAAGTAACTAACAACTTCTCACAAGAAGATGAAGTGTACCCACCATATACAGGGCGATACACTGATCTATTGACAGAGGATGAGGATTTTCTCTCTCATTTCCTTAACAACTTACCCAACAATGAGGACGAGGGTACTCAAACATTCAGCAAGTTTAGAGAGAATTCTGACAATGAAATGATAATGGATGCAACAAATTATCTGGAAAAAGTACCCTGTGTTGTGGGTGTAGCTGATGACTGCCCTTTTAACTCTGAATGTGTCTCACTAGGGTTAAAATTACGTAATGGCATATGTAAATGTATTGCTGGCACTGAAGAGAATGCCCAAGGTGCTTGTATTCAATCAATAAGACCATACTCTAAAGATACTACAATATCACTGGATACAAAGAAAGATGATGACTTAGCTGTTACAAAACTCAGTGATACAAAATCTGATACACCAGCGCCTAGGCAAAATTTAACTGTTTCAATATTATCAAAACAGGTAATTATTACTTTGTCTTGCTTTTAGTATTCAAAAGCGGACACACACCTTTGATAAAACTATTGCATGACTGTTTTACGATTGTCAATTGTTTTGCAGCCAATTAAACTGATTAGTTGCACAACTAAAAATTGAGTAGTGTGTGCACCTCCATTTAAGGTCATAGGAATCAAAACGAGACTAAACAGTTGTGCGATAAATTAGTTTCAGGTGTATCCACACTCTTATTGATTCAAACAAAATTTACTGATGTAGACAATACAATGATTATAGGGTGTTTTTGTCTGCTGATAAAAAGCCCAATGGTGTTATTTTCCATTGGTTTCATTTATTCTATTTATTGAATCCCAACAGGAAACACCCTTAGTATAGATTCAAAGATAACCTTTAGTTTATCAGTCACAAGTGTATTTTGTACATGCATTATATTTGCAATACATTATTTTAGGTTCAACTTCCCGATAATGAGGTGACTTTGGCAGCATACACAATACCTGATGAAAAGTCTACTGGTAGTCATTACAACTATGTGTGGACCCTTGTAGATCAACCTAAGGATGGTTTTACTGGTACGGTCTTTTTTTTTTTTAAACATATCCTGCAATATTTAAAACATTTTTGTATTATTAATTGATGCATTGTTTTGGTAGAACTATTTAATCATTGTTTATATTAATATAGTAAACTAGTTGTCGATCGCGACTACGTCGACGTGAAAAAAAAAACTGCGTAGCATATGTGTTCTTCCAGACTATCCTCTATATCTGTGCCAAATTTTATCGAAATGCATTTAGCCGTTTAAGCTACAAACTCTAATAAAACATCCATCCATCTTAACTTTCGCATTTATAATATTAGTATGAACTATGATTACTATGATAGGGAAGCTGGAATAAACGGATGTTTGCTATTACTTCTCAAAATAGCTTAAGAAATCCAGATAAAATTTGGCACAGATGTAGAACATGGTCTAAACACACACACTAAGATTTTTTTTAATTCATACAAAATGTAAAACTAATGTTATTATATTCTAATAGGTAATATGAATCAAAATGGAGCATCAGTCACTTTAACAGATTTAACCGAAGGACAGTATAGGTTCAAAGTGACAGTGAACGGTACAAATTCGTATGGTGAAGGTTTTGCGAATGTAACAGTTTTACCACCGAAGCGGACAAACACGCCGCCATTGGTGGTGATCACACCACAAGCACAGACGGTGAAACTTCCCAATTCTGTTGCTGTGCTAGATGGCAGTGCGAGTAAGGTACGTGGAAATAGTTCCGTATTGAAAGAAGAATTTACTAATATTTCTTATGGATATTTGATTCTGAAACACAATGTGAAGAAAATTATCAAGTTTTGTGATATTTTACTATTTTATTACTTGTGCTTATCTTACTAAAGCCCAAACATTAAGAATTACAAAACGAAATAAAAAAACTTGGTCGACTTATGGACCAAGTTTTTTTTTAGCTTTTTTTTAGTTTTTTTAAGCTGATATTGGTTTATATGTTTTGTATCCTGTAATATGTTTTTTTTATTCTAGGATGATGATGCAATAATATCTTGGCATTGGGACTTAACTGCCGGACCTATAGGCTACCAACCACCTCTGCAGGATGGACCCACACTAGTGTTGAAAGACTTGAAGCAGCCCGGCAATTATACATTCAAACTGACCGTAGAAGATTCTGACCATGTCAAAAATTTTACAACCGCCAATATAACTGTTTTGAATCATATTGATTATCCACCAGAAGCTAATGCAGGTATTTTCAATTTTTCTTTAAAAAAAAAATAACAAAAACAGTTCTTTCAGATTAAAAATTTGATTTTTACTTTTTGAGTTCAATAAAAAAAAAGATAAAAACATTTTCTGTCTACTGTTGTTACTGTTGTTGTTGTTGTTATTTTTCTATGTATGTCGTGTAAACCTATAATTAGGACAAATTATCTGCATGTTACTTATTGTATTGTGTAAAAATGTATGTGTCATAATTTCGTCCTGTTTATCTTAATAAATAAAAAAAATCGAATGTTTTTTTTCTATTAAACTTTATCATTTTACAGGTCAAGATGTAATAATATATTTACCGAAAAACAACTTGACATTGAATGGCAGTCTGTCGACTGACGACCACGAGATCACATCCTGGGAGTGGACGAAGTCAGCCGAGGACGAGAATAAAGCTGTGGATATGCAGAACACGCATTCTCCATACTTACAGGTCCAAATACATATATACCTCCAGCTGGTTTGCTCCAAAAAAGTAGATATTTAAAATAGCTTTCGCCATCATTTTGTGACACTTTTAATCATTTTCTCAAATTTGCCATACTGCAAATTTTGTTTGAAGTAAAACTATTAAGTTTTAAGAGCGTCTATCGCTCTCGGGTTTCGAGCACTTGACTTGTAATCGACAGGTCTTGGGTTCGAATCCTGCCATATACCAATGTGATTTTCGAACATATGTACATTTACCCGACGTTCTTACGGTGAAGGAAAACATCGTGATGCCTGCTCTGTGCACTTCAAGTCAAGTTTTAATACAGTAATAGTGAAATATTTAAATTCCACAGCTATCAAATCTATCGGAGGGCGTGTACACGTTCGTGCTGAAGGTGACGGACTCGTCGGGGCAGGTGTCGACCGCGGAAGTGCACGTGTTCGTGAAGCCGCCCACCAACACGCCACCCGTCGCCGACGCCGGACCTGATACTGTGAGAAAACAAATATTTGTACACAAGTACATTTTTTTCATAGTCGATATCTGGGAATCGAACCCAAAAAAGCCAGTTCTGTAGTCCATACCTAAAGCCACTTTCTAAGACTTCTATTAATTACGATTTTTTTCTATCTATACAAGTGATTGCTATATTTTAAAAGACTTTTTTTGTGTTAATGTTAGCAATTTAAAAAAGTACTCAACAACATTCGAATGCTCTGTTTGTTTAACAATAGTTGAATGTTCATATTTCACGAGCATCGCAAACCGATGATCTAAGCTAGGTTTAAGGTGAGGGGCAGAGGGGGCAAGCGGTTTAATACTATCTAGACACTTTTAAATTCTTTATTAATATTATTCATGCGAAAGTTTAGATCTTCGTTTGTTAGAGTTTGTAGAATAAACTGCTGAACAGATTTCGTTGAAATTTGGTATAGATTTAGAGGATAGTCCGAAAGAACACTTACTCATTTTTATTTTGTTTTTTAAATTTCAAGCAGACGGAGTCGCGAGCGAAAGCTAGTATTTTTATAAACATAGCGTTGATTAAACTTTAATAACTGCAGTTCATCTCGCTGCCACAAACGTGGGTGACACTAAACGGATCCGGTTCCCATGACGACCACCGCATAGTGGCGTACACGTGGCGTTGCGTCGCGGGACCCACCAACGCCACGCTGCTCCGCCACAACGAGTCGCTCGCTAACGCCACTGCACTCACTAAAGGACAGTACGTGTTCTCGCTCACCGTGCTCGATGACAATGGAAACTCGGCCACCAAGAATGTCACCGTCACTGTCACACAGAGTAAGTAAATCAGACTTCATACCATTATAAATGCGAAAGTTTAGATGGATGGATGTTTGTTAGAGTCTGTGGCCTACATGGCTGAACAGATTTTGATGAAATTTGGTATACATGTAGAGGATAGTCTGGAAGAACACATAGGCTACTCACTTTTGTTCGTTAGAGTGGAATTAAAAAAAATGGTCGTCTATAACATTCTCGCGTGCATCTACTTTTTACCAGCTACCTTCTAGTCAAAGTCCCGTCTAAATCTGTCCACCTGTTCTAGAGATAGCGGTCCGGCCGCCATTTTAACAGCGCGGAAATTTAAAAAATTTCGCCTATGCCCGTCTATGGCAGTTACCCTTCAGTGATAGTCCTGTCGGAGTCGGTCTAGCTGTTTCCGAGATTACCCGGAACAAACGCGGCTTGTGGACAGACAGAGAGACAAAAATGTTTTAAATGCGATTTTCGTTATCAGCAACGCAAATACACCATCTTCCCGAAATCTGGATTTTTTGTTATATTACAAACAGACCTTTCAATTTTATTATAATGTGTTATAATGTGGTCTATTTTGTGTTATCAGATAAGAACAGTCCCCCAAAAGCGGTGGCGGGCGGGGACCAGGTGCTGGCGCTGCCGCTGGCGGTGCTGGTGCTGAACGGCAGTCGCTCGCACGACGACTTCCGCATCGTGTCCTGGAAGTGGACCCGCGCCGGCGCCGGCCTCGCCGCAGGCACCGTCATACTCGACTCTGACACCAAGCCCGTGCTTATGGTAACTATTATATTACTAGCTTTTGCCTCAGTATTTAAATGTTAAAATAAAACTATCATATTGTAGTCTTTATGGTTTTGCAGACTATGTTCTACATTTGTGTCTTTTGATAAATTTAAGCCGTTTTAAAAATACATCAATCCAAACTTTTTTAATAACATTTATAATACTAAGCTATGGCTAGGAGATAGTCCACCAAACTGGTCCACTGCTGGTTAGTTGACTTCACACACATCTTTGAATTTCTTCTTATGTGCAGCTTGTAAAAATTGTAAAGTAAAATTGTAATTGTAAAGTAAGAAAAATTGTATCGTATCGTAATGACGATACGATACAATTTTTCACCGTAAGGACGTCGGTAAATTATGTACATAGGTAGTTCGAAAAACACGTTGCTAAATGGCAGGATTCGAAGCCAGGACCTGTAGATTCCAAGATAAGTGCTCAAACCCCTGAGCAAATAACGCTCTCATCATACTTCATACTAATATTATAAATGTGAAAGTTTAGATGGATGGATGGATGTTTGTTAGAGTTTGTAGCCTAAACTGCTAAATGGATTTCAATGAAATTCGGCATGGATGCAGAAAATAGTCTGGAAGAATACATAGGCTACTTGGTTTTTTTTAATACCACGTGAATAGAGTCGCGGGCGAAAGCTAGTGTACAATATTAGTATGCGTTATTACCTTGTGTAACATTATTTTCACTTATTTCCCTCAGTTAACAAACATAGAATCGGGTAGATACGTGTTCGAGTTGACAGTGACGGACGACCAGGGCGAGTCTGACCGGGACGCGGTCAGCGTTCAAGTGAAACCGGACCCCCTAGAGATGAACCTACTGGAGCTGACGCTGCACACGCCCGCCTCCGCCTTCACCAAGAGTCAGCTGGACACCCTCGTGCAGAAGATCACGTTGCTACTCAAAGATGATATTAAAGTTAATGTCACTCAAATACGAAGCGAAGTCGACTCTGGAAATACGCAGATTATATTCTTTTTATCGGAAAAGGTATGTATTTGAAACCTATTTAACACACTATTTAACACTTAATTTTTTCCACATTACAAAATAATGTCGTCTATTATATCGATATAATCGATTATACTTATTTAATTTCGCGACCTCCTCCCCTAGTTAGATGTGAACACTCTAAAACTCCAAACTAAAATAAGCGATAAAAAATCCGTTACATAAGTTAATTTGTTACTAACAGTTTTAACTGAAGGCGAACTGTTAAGATAAAACTTTATGAAGTTACCAAATTACATCTAAGTATGTCTTAGTTTGTAATTATTTCATTTAAAAAGGAAGAAGATAGAGGGTATGGTTAATGTGTGTGTAGGGCGTGGCGGTGGAGGGCGTGCGCGCGTTGGGTCTGCTGCGGGGTGGGGGTGTGGGCGGGGGCGCGGGCGGGCTGGGCGTGGCGCGGCTGCGCTCGCTGCGCTGCCTCAGTGCGTGCTCGGGCCGCGGCGTGTGCGACCGCGCCACACGCACCTGCCGCTGCGACGCCTTCTGGATGCAGAGCCTCTTCACACAGTTCGACCCTGATGCGATGCCCGACTGCGGTAAGACACTCATAAACGCACGTTACTCTTGCCCATTTTAGGTTATTACACGATACTAGCTGTTGCTTGCTACTTAACTCGCGTGAAGATAAAAAGTCTGTTAATCTCTGTTAGTTACGCAGGTTTTAATGTTGAAAGAATTTTTGAAATCGGCTCAATAGGTTTTGACTTATACGAAAATACAAAAATTGTAGAGATTTGTTTAAAGAAAAATGTACCGTAACGAAAAGGAGAAAAGATATCACTGTAGACTAAATCATACTTGGTATTTTACTATCACAAAATGACTTCGCATTTGTATTTTACGAGTTCAAAAAGTTTCAAGTGCTGTCTATACCTTCTCTATATAGAAATAAATTTATTTGTTCAGAATATGAATTCATTCAGGCATGTGTTGCGGTCTATACCTAAACGTGGGTTTTAAATGAATATGTTAAACTAGCTTTCGCCCGCGACTCCCTTCGCGTGGAATTAAAAAAACAAAAGTGAATAGCCTATATGTTCTTCCAGACTATCTTCAACATCTGTACCAAATTTCATTGAGATCCGTTCAGCCGTGTAGGCTACAAACTTTAAACAAACATCCATCCATTCATTCATCTAAACTTTCACATTTATGATATTAAGAAGTAAGATTCGAGGTATTGTGGTTGGCAGAGTGGTCTGTGGTGTACGCGAGCCTGTGCGGCGTGGCGGCGGCGTGCGCAGCGTGCGCGGCGTGCGGCGCGGCCGTGCGGCTGCTGCGCCGCGTGTGCGCGCCTCGCAAGCCGCGCGCGCGCCCGCACTACCGCCTGCTGCCGCGCGCCGACGAACACAAACCATGTCTCTAACTCTCTTACTAACTACTGTTTTATATTATAAGGTTGCAAACGAGCAAACGGCCACCTGAATCTGCCGAAATGGAAAGCGAACGCTGCCCATAGACATCCGCAATTGCAGATGCGTTGCCTACCTTTAATTGACGGAAAAAAGACACACATAAACAGGATATTTCCCCTTCCTATGAGTCTCCTCCACTGTCAAATCCACTTTTCCTTCCCTTCCTATTCTCTTAAGAAAAGATTGGAAAGGAAAAGGGACTAAAATTAGACCTCCGCCACCACATTCATCAGACGAAACGCGGTATACCATACATAACAAAACGTTAATATCACTTGTAAAGCCCGCTTTAACATCATACTGTATGGCCAACTCGCCCTTTGCATTACCACGACCACACAGAAGACAGTCAAGTGGGTACAATTCCGCATTTCGTCTGATAAGTGTGTATGCCGGAGCCCGAATTTTATGATAAAAAAAACTTTTTATATATTTTCCTTCCTCTATTATATTTTTAATCAATCGATTAAGATCAATTATCCAATTCTAATTAAGCCGGTTTAGAATATGACTAACGATCGAATATTGAAATACTGACATTTAAATACGTAACAGCGTCTTAAATTATTATTTTTTTAATTATTTAAAGCCACACTTATTCCAAACAACTTTTTTGCTTATCAAATTATAAGCGGCGCTTACGAAGTGAAGTATTAGAATACGTTTCTGTATTCGGCCGTTGAATCTTAACATCAAAGTATATTATATTTATTAAGATACACCAACAAGGAAAAATGAACAACACTAAAATATTTCAAGAATTATTAGCAGGCATGGATTTTTATGCATTAAAAGTAAACATGCAGAACGAGCACTTAATATATAAACCCATACTGCATAAAAATGACTTCGCCTTCGTGAACTTAAAAAAATAAAAATAAAAACATACTTACTGATAACGTAGCTTTCTAATGATAAAAGAATTTTTGAAATCGGCCCAGTAGTTCTTGAGTTATTTCAACACATACAAAAATACAAATCTTTCCTCTTTATAATATTAGTATTGATAAATTAAATGGTAAATAATTAATTAAATACGTCAAATTTCAGTTACAAGCAAAGACGTGTCAGAATCGGATACGGAATCGGACGTGTTGTACGAATCTAAGAGCAAATCGAGTTTGTTCTCGAGCCGCGCCAACAACGGGGACGTCGTCGCCAACGGATGGAAGAAGAACGGACTGAAACCTTCCCGTAAAGTGAAAACATAATTATTACATGTTCATACATATTATAAAATTGTAACTATAGTATCCACGGTAATCCGATATCCGACAAAATATAGGTTATCCGACAAATGTAGAATATGCATTTATTATATTATATTGTACTAGCTGTTGCTAGCATCTTCGTCCGTGTAATGTAGCTATTTATTGTAAAAGATTTTTTACATACGGCCCAGTAGCTTTTGAGTTATTTCAATATATTTATATATAACAATACAAATTTTTCTTCGTCATAATATTGGTATAGGTTTTGCCACATTTTTTATTTTTATATCTATTTCTGAAATTTAATAATTATTATTACCGAGATAATTTTAAATACGTTTTATTTTACATTAATTACATGTTTTCTACAAAATACTTGTCGGATTTACTATATCTTGTAATACAATTTTCAAAGTATATCGAATTACCGCGGATTACTAAAATTTGCAAGAAACATAATATATTATTATTTAAAATATGTATACACTTAAGTTATGATCTCAGATAAGTCCGACAAAACCACTGCAAATTTTAAAATTGACCAAAATTACATTCCATAACTGATAGGTGAAAAAAAATCTTATTTAGTAAATGTATGTTTTTAAAATATTATAAGAGGCGTTATTGACAAATGTGCCTATATTATGCTACCGAAGTTTTCATAGAATTTAATTGATAACGATAATGTGTGTCAAGGGAACATCCTGTATTTATTATATAGTGTAAATAATACAGGCCCTTATATAGTTGGAAACAGCATAATAAGTTAATACAATTCTTGTTGTGTTCAAACAACAATCAGAAACGATCCTGTAGAATTGTTTTCTTATTAAAATGGAGCACTCTGTAGATTTTTTAAGCTGACTAAAACATTTTTCATTACATATTTGCTCTAGTGGAAATGGTACATAAGTTGCTCATATAAATAACACGCGCTAGTGGATAAAGGGTTTTAGAAACCCTAAAGGGTCTCTCGCAGTCTCAAAGTATTACAACTTCAATATTGGAGGGGATAAATGAATAGGTGTTTAAACGAAATTAAGCTGTGAAATATTTGATTTGAGCTTAAACAGTTTCACAATGCCGAAGTAATTGTGATGTGGCATGCATTTAGTATTAAAAAGTATTAAAAACAAAAATAAACCATACATATAGTTCGTAGACAAGTCAAATACATAGTTTATATGTAGACGTAATTTAAATACAAAGAGGCTGTTCACAAATTGTGTAAATAAAAAGGCTAACGATAAAACAATTGCAGTATTCAAAATTCGAATTTAAAAAATATTTTTTCTTTTGTAGTGTTCCTTTGTTTTTTTAATATGTTGGCATCACGTTATAAAGTTTGCTTATTAATGCAAATCCAAACTTTCCGTTCTAAATAATGTGAAATTACGATAAGTATTTTTGAATTTCAGACATACCATTCTATTTGTATGTATAATAGTAAACGCTAGATAAATGTTTTAATGGTACAATAGACTTAATGTAAGAAAATGTGAAATTTTATTAAAACGAAAAACTTTGCTTTATCTACTCTCACAAAAAGTATTTTAATATGTAACATTATTTGCTTATAATTTCACATGTAACTTGTACATCGGTATATTTCTTTATCAAACGCTACATAATCTATGTAAATCTGATTTGTATTTTAATAAAATAGGTATTACTTATTTGTATAGGAAAAAATAACTAAAACATCACTTTCTATCGCAACATTGCTTCGTACAAGTGGTGCTCACAGATAAAAGTATATTGTTTTTGTATATATCTTGGCGGCTCAAGAAGTACGCTAGGCAGTGCCTTCCCATCACTATGCGCTCTGCCACACAAACTTTATATTCTGTGCAGGGATTGCTACAAACTTCCAAGCAGCCAAGATTTTTGAATATTTAATACTACGTTCGCTTTCTAACGTAAAACCTGGTTATTGTTCTCTTTTTATTATATCTATTTTTTTACAACCTGTATGTGAATATTGTGAATGAATATCTTTTACATCTTGATTCATTAAAAACTATAGTTTCATATTCACTACTGCCACATATAATTAGCCCTAAAATATACTGGTAAGTTAATTATTGTTTATTAGCATTTTGTAATTTTTAATTATTGCTTTATATAATAATTTTATTATCTAGTCGAATTATAATAAAAATGTGTTACGGCTAATATTATATTGTGTGCAATATTTGGTTTAAAATGATATCCATAATTTCGATTGTTGGAAGAAATTAAAATTATTGTTCAAATTTTAGCCGTAATGAAATTTATTAATGTCCTTTTGTACTGTGATTGTAAAATGTATCGCGTAAGCAACGTACATAAAGATTCATTTTATATTTTATTTGATGTATTATTTAGTGACATATTATTTAATAAAACGTAGGTTGCTTTTAATGGTTGTTATTATTTCGGTCAGGAAAACGTTAAAAAGACTTCTTATAATTGTTCAAGGATAGAAATAAAAAACAAAGTCCTGCATTACATTTTAATATAAAAAATTATTGCTTTCAACATTGGTACAATGACAAGCTACTAACAGTTACTACGAAACACTGAATACGTTAATACAATTTAAAATCGCAGGAAATTGGTCAAAAACAATAGATGACCGCAATTTCGCAGCTTTCTCTTTCACACCCAGCTCCGTTGTATTTGTCTCGCTCGCTCCTTGTCAATTTCATTTCGACACGTAGGACGATTTCGCGGCAATTTACAATTAATTACATTTATTTTTTGAAGCCACATAATTAGCTGTGCATGCAAGATAATGTTGCATTGTGCATTTCTCTCTATAACATAGACATTTGTAATGTAGAGTATTACAGATAATAATTTTGACATTAAAATTGAATAGACCAGTGCATACCATAAATTATGGTAAACATTTCTTAAAGAAAATTATTAATTAGCTAACTCCAGCCTTTTAACAGTAAGTATGCCAATTTAAGATAAATAGATAAAATTTATCTATACTAAATGCAATTACAGGTAAATATACAAAATAGAAAAATCTTAGTCTATAATAATATTAAAAACAACTTAAAACCACCATTTTGAATACAAATTAATTATGATAAGTCCCAAAAACCATATAACAAATGAAAATCTTAAACATTGAATGAATTTAAACTAGAAAATATCAATTATTATCATTTAATACCATTCAGACCGAAAAAAGTAAACCACCAATGTTATACAATTTAAAAAAAATGCAATTAATACTGAGTTGTTTTGAAATCTCAGAAATCAAGTTTAAACAAACAAGTAAATGCTATATTTTTTTTACGTTAAAAAAACAACTTCAATATAAAAAATAAGACAATGGTTTTGCATTAATACATCAACTTTTTATACAATAATAATAGTAATTACTTGATAAAGAAATTATACCTTTGTAACAGAATTATCATAAAAATGCTTAATCATAGTGACATATTTTGAAATAATCATATATTTGTTATACAGTATTTTATATTTTACTGCATAAAAGTGTATTCATATTAATGTAATCTTCACATCAAACATTTTATCTCTCCATTTATAAAGTGAGATTACAAAGTACTTTATATAAATCTCACAGCAGTATGACTTTCAGATTCACTTGTGCCATATTTTGCTAATAGTAAACTACATTTATAGTCCCTATAGATTTTACCATATAACTTTTTAATTGCTAGCAAATAAGCACAAAGACAGAACTTTTAAATCTAACATCTTATAACACCAAGATATATTGATTATGATTACTTGCAGAAGTGCAATATTAATTTTTTTTAATATTTGTATGATTTTTATTGCTTTTTGCATGAGATATCTATTGAATAAGATAAGATTTTTTATATTGAGCAGCAGTATGCACCTTTATAATTTAAATTTAAATTAAAAATAAGACTCGTGAATGTCATTATTTAGCTTTCTTTTTCCCAGACTTTACAGTGGATTCCACTTCTTTAGACCACACAAGTTTATTTAAATTCTCACCCAAAGAATAAAAGCCACATATGAAGATTAAACTGAACACATAGAAAGCTATTCTAAGTGGCCAATTTAATGCATTGAGTATCGGATAGACCCAGCTACCTGTTCTGAAATAAATATAGTGCACCCAAACAGCATATGACAACATAAATGTACAAAGTATAGTCAAACCCTTCTTCTTACTGGGATACATTCTAAATGATGTGGCAAGTTCAATAAGAGTAAATAATACAATATTTGAATGCATTACATGGTTCAACCAAATAGGGAAAAATGGATCCAAAGCTCTGGGGAGAATCAATTCCCTATTCACAGCATAGATGCCCCAAAATGTAACACCAACAAACAAAGCCATAGGAAATGCTAAGGTACTAAACATGGTATCTTTAATGCGTCTCAACACTGGTTTGTGTGATGGCGTCGGTTCATTTGTACCAAAAATATCATTTGATACAGCAATAGTGAAGTACACAGTTTGTAACATCTGAAAAAAAATAACATTTGAATCTGAATCTTAAAGTTACCTATTAAACTGGTTTTAAACAATGAACAATACTTATTTATTTAAATACACTTACCGCGTTCAGAAATGTTAAATATTTCAACTTGCCAGCAAATGGGGTGACAGTCGTAGAAGTACTCGGTATTTTCACATATGTATGATCATAATAGCACCCATAGAAAAATTGTATCGCTCCAACGATGTGGAAGATTAATCTTATCATCTTGTACAATTATAATGGGGTCCTTTTAATTATACAGACTGAAACAATTGAAAACTTGTAATAATGTAGTTACGACAAATGTGTGGAACCGACTTAAAACGGATCTACAATCAACTAGACATACGCGTTATGTTTGTGTTATTTACTCTCATTAATAATTATAATTTAAATAAAATTTCCTTAAAATTTACAACACAAGCCAAGCCAAACAAAATTCAAATCAACTTTTGACAGTGACAAATTGGCACATAATAAATCAATAGGGATGCACAATCCGACAATCCGATTCAATGCTTTAGTAGATCGATCCAATAGCATACGGTCGAGTCAATTTTTGTATCGTTATAGTAGAATTAATCAGTAACTTGGTAAAATATCTCAATAATCAAGAAACGTATTTGTGCCACTGCTTGCTTACTTTTCTTATTTGTTTTTTTTACCGTGAAATTCTACTGTCTTAAAAGTTAACTTTGTGTCTGTATTGTGAATAAAAATGTTATGAAAAGCCACATTTGGTAAAAACTAAAAAAATATATTAAAAATTTGATGATTTAAAAAACAAACAAAAACTACTTATTTTAAACTACATGTAGTGTATGGTAAACCTGTTGTCTACTGTTCTTGCGTTATGCCAACTAAAGAGTATTAAAAATATAGCCAGCTAAACATTCCTACCCGAGTACGAGCCACCCACAGGAGTGGACGTCGCCAGAAAACAGTACTTTACATATATTTTATTCGATACTAGATCGATACAATGCATTACCATCCAAAGTATCGATATAAAGCACTTGGATAGGTCATCCCTAACATACAATGACATGACAAGTTGATTTTATTTCAATGTTGCCAGTTGCCATTCGGTCGATGAACAGCACTGACCTCTAAAATTGGACAGGTAACACAGGCAGGACAACTTGAATAAAAATACATCGAAAACTTCTAGCCAAAGAAAAATGCGCTAACTTTAACAATTTCGTTTAATTTTGATATGTTTCTTTAAATAATAATTTATGATATAGGCGGGAAGACGGATGGAGGCGCTAAGTCTGGCATGGTGGCGGTGAAGACGCGGCGCAGGCTGCGGCGGCGCGGCGCGGGCAGCTCGGGCAGAGCGCCGCGCACCAGCCGGCGCAGCGACGCATTGCGATCTCTCAGCTCCACAACTTCTTCATGCAGACGTTCTCGTTCTACCAAACAGGTAAAAACAAACAAAAAAATGAAAACGCTTTTTAAACGCTCAAAAACGACTGGACAGTTTTTAATTTCGAAAAAAGTAGGACAAAACTGGCAACTATTCTGCATCAAGTAAAAATGAATGGCATAAATCGGATCATACATCGCAACATAATCGAGTAAATACATAAAAAAATATCGATTGAATTGAGAATCTTCCTTTTGAAACTTATTAGAAATGTCATAGGTAAAAAATGAATTCTCGAGTAAACGGAAGATTTTTCACCTGGTTCAATAATAAAGTATTTTTTACCTTGTAATATTGGCAGATAACTATTTAGTCCAGCCAACAAGCCCTCCCAAAAACGATCTTTATCAGGTGAAAATACATTTTTGCATTGACTCCAATACTGTTCTATTTCATCTGGAGTCAATCTTCGAGACGGTGTTGTGAAGTCCGGAGGTTTAACACTGTCCCTACAACACAAATGCAGTATTTAGCCAAAGTATTCCAAAATCAGTAGTTTATTGAATAATATTTAATCATAATATCAAAGGATTTATGTATTTTTACTTACATAATGTCGTTCAATATCTTCCTGTCGGGGGGAACAAATACAGACATGAATTCATTGAGGGCAGTCAGTACTTGCATGGGTTCGATTTCAAGCAAATGTCCCACTGAAAAATGAATCTATTGACAAAAATTAAGTTCAAAGTTGAATGCGTAAGCTACACGTTTTATCTATTACCTGGGCAAAGGAATGGATGGTCTTTGTCCATGGCGAGGGTCTGGAATGAAGAGACGGTAACGCCACGGCCCGCGCGCCTCCCCGGCGCAGACGCGCCCGTCTCTGATGTTATGCCAGTTGCAGTTGAACTTCCTGACATTTATAAAAGATATCAAGACTAACCAACTGTGACCGGTTAAACTGTATGATATACCTGCTTTCGTTCACTATTCTGTCCTTACAAAAACTTAGTAAGTAGCCTATGTATTCTTCCAGATTACGTTCTAAATCCGTGTTAAATATCATCGAGATCCGCTCAGCAGTTTAGGTTACAAACTAGAAATAAACATCCATCCAAATTTTCGAGTTTAGATATTAGGAAAATGACAATGAAGCTTGTGTAAAATTAATAGCTCATAACATTCCTATTTCAAATACAATGGGGATGAAATTATGTCTTATTATTCTTCATGGAGCTCTACATCAAAAACAAACTTCTATTATGAAAAAAAGATTTGTAATAAAAACCTTGTTGCTGTCCACACTTCTGTATGATCTCGTCCGCCTCTTGCATCAGCTGACGTTCGTCCGCTGACAGCTCATGACTCCTGCCACATGAACGTTGTTTAATTACATAAAAACTAAGTAAAAAGGGCACGAAACCTCAAAGCCATGATTATAAAAAAGCGCCAATACCCTCGTAGTTAAAAATACGCACAGTCGATCTTCCTGTAATAGGTTCAAATCACATGATTCAAATCTTGTCGCGAAGATTTGCCACTTACAAGATAAATGTGTTTTATTTAATAAAGTATAAGAATATATAATACTTGAATCCGACGTGTATAGACCGCGACGTGGAGGCCGACACACTGCGTGCTATCACACTGCTCCTCACCTTCGTAGAAGATCTATCAACTGAAGATAAACATTACTTAAATACATTACAAACTAGCTTTCGCCCGCGACTCCGTCCGCGTAGAATTAAAAAAAAACAAAAGTGAGTAGCCTATGTGTTCTTCCAGACTATCCCTCTACTTTTATACCAAATTTCATCGAGATCCGTTCAGCCGTTTAGGCTACAAACTCTAACAAACATCCATCCATCAAAACTTTTGCATTTATAATATTAGTAAGTTTATGTTTTATTCACGACGTAGACATAAACAAGAAAGTGTTAAGACTGAAGATAAATAAAGTATGGATGGATTGTGTAATAGCAGATATGCTTAAGAAAGGATTGGATTCATATATGACGGCTGATAACAATGTATGGAAGACCAGCACATCTTTACTGGTGAAGGATATTAATTGGCTAATATAAAAGGAATTTTAATAATTCATACCTCGACTACCTTTATACACACTAGGATGTGATTCGTCCTGTTAATAAAAAAATCATTATTACTATGTTTTAATTAAATAAATTGAAAATTACAAATTTAACTGAAATTAAAAATATGAACCTTAACAGGTATGCTAACTCCGGAAAGTTGTTCCAACGAATCTGACATCGTACCAAATTCCATTCCAACGCAAATCGAACAAAACGCATAATTCAAAAAAGTCTTGCAAAGCAGCTCGATGTCTTCTTCAGCTTGAATCTCCAATGCCTTAAAATAATCAATTTAAAATTCAATATTCACACATTTACTACATTTAAAGTTGAAAACATTCACTTAAGCAATCCTTAGTGTAAATTAATATATCAGTTAATCCTTCCTAAGCGATGTATACTAGCCGTAAGGAGCGTTCAGTTTTCTCGATAATGTTTACCATAAATATTGAATCCAGTGTACATAAATTTCTAGAAGAAGGTTGATGTTTTTCGATTAATTTTAATAAACGATCCTCCACCAAAAACCCAGAATTGTCCGATACTAATTTCAGTATATGCTGAATCTGAAACAAGTCAGTGTCAAAATAAAGAAGTATTTTATCTAATATTAGCACAAAAATACCAATTTTTATCAATGTTTTTTACAAAAGAATATTTTAGAACTTAACGTTTATATGATAGACGGACTTTAACAATATCATCATGTTAAATATATAAAATTTTTACCAATTTATCTTTAGCTTCTTTGGTAACCGCATTAACACTGCCTTCATTTGTCTCGCGACGAACTATCGGTGGTCCTTCATATTCTACAATTTATGAAAGTAATAAATACATTTAGAAATGGACGAACCAGAAACTTACAAGATAAAGTGAGATGAAGTAAGGTAAAGGTAACAGGGACAGCTAATGTTTTAATTATTGTCGCAACTCTTAGAACAAGGTTTACTTATTGTAGTTACCATATTTAGTTAAAGGGTTTTTAGGGAATTTTGGAGGCGGCGGTGGCGGAGGCTCCGCTAAGATGTGCGCGTGCAGCGCCACCTCCGTATTACGAATGTCGCGGCTGAGCTGCGCACATTGCGACTCCGACATTCGCCACACTTGAGTAAACTTGTAATTATTCACTTTGGAGAAATGTCTACATTTCTTCTCCAAATCATCCATCGCCTGCATCAGTTTTATGATCTCCGCGTCAGCTTTCATCTCCTCTATAGCGCCATCTTCGGCCGCTTTTCGAATTTTGGCGCGCAAACTGTTCGCGACGTCAGACATCTTGTTTAATTTACGTTTCTGTTGAGATCGAACAAATACGTTTTCTTCTTCCCTTTTTTTTAAAACCTGGGAATTTTAAACAATAGTGAATAAAGACACAAAAATCGCAATAATAAATGTTTATTACACGAGGGCAAGTTTACCTGATAATTGTATCCGATTTTTTCCGTATTTATAAGACATGTGGTTTTCAATTTCTCTTGTTCCTTTTGCAATTCTTGAATCAAGTTTTCAAGTTCAATTCTTGCCTCGCGATATTTAGTATGGTGGTCCCACATAATGGCTTCCACTTCTTTCTTATGCTCCTCTAACTGCAATCCAAAAAAGAAGAAATTGAATATTCGAGAAAAAATCAGTGTTTTATTCTCTAGGCGAGTGCGTTAACCAGTAATCAACAATGTAACGACTAATATATTCGTCAGAACTGGACGTTCGAAATATCATAGCAAATAAGTTTTGTTTGTGAAATGTAGGATTTGAAACATACTTGTTCATATTTGTACTCCATATGTACAAGTTCCTCCTTGTCCCTCTGCTTGTAGAGCGCTTCCCAACGCTTGTTGTTGTGCTCCACCAACGCGTCGCGCTCCAAGTTTATAGCTTGCTCTATCAGAGACAACTGCTTCTCATAAGCCCTTTGCATTATCGTCACTTGCTTCTCAATTCGATCAGACAGCTCTTTAATTTCTTTATCCTATAACAAAATTCATACACATAAAAGGAACTAGTTTTGAGATAAGTGCAAAAATTGACTAAAAGTTCATGTAGTGTATATCCTTTTATGGTAAATCAAGAATAAATATTGCCCTTGTAAGTTTCCATCGATAAAACATCTGTGCTAAAAATTCTGGTATCTCAGTTTCTTCAAGAAGAATAAATAAGATAACGACATATTTTTGTACCAGTATTTTGGTAGTGAAAACTTCCTGTTAGTTATTCTTACCTGTTTATCCAAATCATCGTAATAAGCGTCATCTGTACGTTTCAATTCGTGTTTTAAATCTTCAATTAGTTTATTCTTCTGTTCTAACAACGCATCGCATTTCTTTCTCTGTTCATTAATTTCCAAATCGATATCCAAAGGGTCCTTAATCTTTAGCATTGCATCCCAGTTAGAGGTGATAGCGTCATATTGTAGTTGTGCTTCTGCTGCTTCTTCCTCGATTTTTTCTAATGCCTCTGTAATAAATATATGGATTAGCCTTCTAGGATTGACGAAGAAATTTTTGAATTTCTTAATTATTAATTCATATTTACCTTTCATCTTTTCCGAGAACAGCTCACGTCGTAGAACTTCGCGTTCATCAGTCGTAACCCTTACATTGGTAACTTTAGCCGCACCATCTAGCGTTAATCGCTGGAGTTCCTCTGCCGCAGTCGCAGTCGCCTGCTCTATAGGCCCAGGTTCTTCCTCCGCTCTTACCTCCTCGGCGGCTTGCTCCGCTCTAACCCAAATATATTTTATACTACATAGATAGGTAAGGCTGCTTTAAGGGGAGACGTCTTTTAGTCGTTAACCCTTTATGACCACCTTGACAAGTTTGTATCTACCACAAAGTGCTAATGCTATGGGTCCTATGGTTCTAAAGAAAGTCAATCCCAGAAATAAAGCTGCCTTGGAAACTGGCGCAAAAAAAAAGCAAGAGTTTAGTATATGTCTCTTATTTCACTACTTAACATTGTTTACCTTTTAAGAGCTTCTTGCCTTCGTTTTATACGCAAGGCTCTCCCAGCTTTACGTTCATTGGGGTCCTGCGAAGTGACTTGCGGTTCTTTAGGTGCAAGTACGTCTTCTTCCTCGTCAAACCCTCTAAAGTTTCCAGCCATTACATTAACAAAAATATATCCACTTTACTACGCGTAAAAAAATCAAAACGTTTATCTGATGTTTGATTGTTGTCATGGTGACAATTTTGATAAAATAAAAAAAAAATAGCCTTCATTCAGTAGACAAACATTCTAAACTATGTTAAACATCACCTCCCTGTTTTAGGGGGATAGGAAGAGGAATACTATCTTTAAAATTACTTATACCATTTTCATATTTCTTATGAAACATCAGTTTTTTTAGTATATGTACATCACGTTAGTTTTCACACTAATGTATGCAAAAATTCAGCGACTCATTCTCATTCTACCAGTCTCATTTTCTAGAAAGAAAAACAGATAAGTGTTGTTATAAATGAATTACAACAACTTTTAACTATCTTTTATTAGACATGTTTCGCCAGTGTATATTGGTAGGTACTTACTAAACTTCGACCACATCATCACTTTGGTCTAGGTGGGATAGTGGTCAAGCGCTGGTTTATACATGATAAAAAAAAATGTTTTCATTTGTAATTCATTAAAAAGTTTAAACAATAAAACAAAGTAGGATCTTTATAAATTTTTTATTATTACTTATTTTACTTTTTGCTGTTAAGGATGATACCATCGTATTTCTGTTGGAACCACTTCATGGCATCCTCCTTCGTGAGGCGATGGGGGAAACCAACCTTGCCAGTTTTGCGTCTTCTGTGGGCAACATTGAAACCTAGAACAAACACAGTAAATTTTTAATAACGTTCAAAACATGGGAAATATAATTGCACTGTTTAAAAAACAAAGTAAAAATTGATGCAAATATTTTTACATTGTAAATTTTACTTTTTTAATAAAATTTAATAAAATAATTCTCTTCAAAGCCATCCATATACTTCTATATCAGAACAGCTGAACAGATCTCCATGAAATTTGACATATAGATGATAGTCTGCAAGAATGCAGACTACAAAGTTTATCAATTTCTTAAATAAAAAAACTGTACCTCAGCCTCAATGAGGGCAATGAATCAGTCAAAACCCTCAATGAGATAAGATTAATATTGCACATGTATTACAGAGTAAAAATTAGGATATTTTCACTCCTGAACCTATGTGCTGAATATTAAAACTATATACAAATATCTTATGAACATGTTTATCAAATAGTTTAAAACTAAAAACATTTTTTTAATATTACGACATGACTCAATTTTAAATTAATACTATGTTGTATAATAGTATGGTTTGTTACCATGAAACAATTTAATAATGTTACATACCTGGCCTTCCTAGAACGACATAGAAGTCAAGACCATAGATACCAATAGAAGGATCATACTTGATACCCAAGTCAATGTGTTCCTGAATACCAAAACCAAAGTTGCCAGTGGCGGAGAAGTTGTCCCTTCTCAATTCATATTCCCTTACCTTGAAGAAAATGCATAAAATTATTTCATCAGTTTTACTATATAAAGATAAGCTTTCAAGAGAATCAAATCATTACACCCTCCATTGAAAACTTTAGTAACACCATAACATTAAAACAATTTAATTAAATCTCATTATTTGTAATCTTGTTTATCACCAAATTTTAGTTGCGATATATGAGATTGTTAAGTTTACAAATGTCATTTCCATTAGAATTTTGAGCAGTATGAAACATGGTACTCAAAAGTTGCGAGAAAATTTTTACTATTGCATGTATTTTACAAAGGAAAACATATTATATGATAATCCTTGAACAAATCATGCTAAAACATTAAAGACATTATAATACAAGTTATTAAAAACAAATAATCATATCATTCTTAGTAATAATGCAAGTTTGTATGGATGGAGTTTGTTACAACTAGAATGGCTAAATGAATCTTGGGAGTTGTGGTTAGCATCTACCAACTCCATATAGAGTATACACATATACTAGATTTTATATACTGAGTAAAAATGTATACTTCTTTTAAAAATGTACATACTTTAAGGCCCCTTTCAAGGATTTCCTCAGCTTTGGCTCCACGGACCGTGCAATGAACAGCAATCTTTTCATTACGACGGATACCAAAAGATCTGACAGTGTACCTCGCTTTGGAGAACACTGGCTGCTGACCAGTCAGTTGTTCCAACACCTGAAACCAACGATTTTTGTCACCTTACTTACAATTCACTTTTAAATTCGTTATTCAAAAAGTTTTTTACAAATGTTATTTCTGTTAGTATTCTGGAAAGTAATGCATAGTTCCCAGAAGTTGCAATTCAAAATATTTATATTGCACAAATTAAGAAGAAACATAAAATTTTTTTTATGATTCTTTACATAGATAACTAGTGCAACTTAAACTTCATTTCACATTTACACTTTAAGAAATTGTATGTTAACTTATACAATCAATAACAAACCTTAGCAGCACGTGTCAGTCTGTCTCCAGACTCTCCTACACAGATGTTCAGGCATAACTTCCTGATATGCAGATTTCTCATAACATTTTTGGAGTTGTCTTTAGGAGGTTTCTTCTCCTTTTTATCTTTCTTAGGTGCGGGCGGTGGTACACGCTGAAAACCATTTGAACAATGATAATTCAATAACACTTAAACAAATTACAAATACTAACATTTGAAACATCGAGATAGGTTATAACAACACAACACTGTGTAAAATACAAGGACACCAAAAATAATTGATTTACATCTTAGAGAACATAATATTTCACATATTGCACCACTAATAAAGAGTTTATTCATTGGTAAATCTGCGATTCAAAACGATTTTATATTCCGGTAAATGAAATCAACCTACCGCCATGGTCACAATTTTCTAAAAGAAGTGAAGTTTGAAAGGACTGTGTTGCCATAAAGAACTTTTAATTTGCTTCTACATGAACCAAAATTACCTACGGAAATACAGATCTATTTAGTTAAGCACTTTTCGGTCATAAAACAAGCAATTTAATCCAAAATGTTGGAAAAGTTTAATAAATATAAAAAGAAAATCATCTTTCAGAATCGCGACATTTTTTTTCAGTTTACGTACTGTTGTGGATTTGGTAGCAATACCAACAAAGTTTGGTTGGACATTACAAGGTCCAGTTCAAGGTATTTGTAACACAATTGTGAGCTCAAATTTTATTTC